TGTCTCAGGATTTCCTAACTTCAAATCCATCCATCCACTGTGCCAGTTGAGATATGCACACAGAGAAACAGAACACTAGGTCCAGAAGAGGAGGCTACAACTTGCAGTCAAAGTACTTGGGAGAGGGTGGACAGACAAATAAAGGTACCTTTCCCAGGGCTGCTAACAGCCAGAAGACCTGAATCCTGGTTTAACTAAACTATCTTGTATTTAAGTACTTTCTGATTGTATTAATTTTATGTTTGTGCTGTATGTATTTTTATACGTACTTGTCTCTTCCATTAGGATATAAGCTCCCTGAAAGTGGCTATTAGTACATTCTTTGAACTTGTATTACCAATGCCTAGCAGAGGACTTGGGATACACTATTAATATTGGTTATTAATATTTTAGTTAGTTAATAAATATTTGTGATTAATTGCAAGTAGAATTTATATTAGAAACCAATGAAAATGTTTAAGAAGCAGTATCTGCCATCTTGGAGGGGCTCTAGACTAGAGAGATACCTGAAGGTTCAGGACACCTACAGCCTCATGACCCCTGTGAACAGTCAGTGCTGACTTTAATTAACATAATTAATTTATCAGCAAATAATTTTTAAAAATAAAAAATATTTTCCTGAAGTTGGCAGAGACACCAAGTCTTGAAGGTTTCACAACCAAAACCACTGAATATGTATGGGTCTTGCATGTCCAGGGTGTTGAGCCCTGGTTGCCATTGGGATTCACTGTTCCCCATCTCTTACTTTTCTTTCATATTTTCTTAGTTTAGTTTGCTGCCTCCTATTAGTTGATCATATTTCTCCATACCGAGGTTCCTACCTGATGAAGCCACTTTACAACAATGTGACAAGTCACTTGACCTCCACAATTTCCTCATCTGTAAAATGGAGATAATTATATTTGTACTACCTATCTCACAGGGTTGTCATGAAAATCAAATGAGATAACACACTGTTTATAAAGTGATCTGTATGTTTGGCAACAAGGTGGCGTAGTATATACAGAGCTGGCCTTGGAGTCAGGAAGACCTGAATTCATCATCCTGACTTACACTCAGATAGTGTGACTCTGGGCAAATCATTTAACCTCAGTCTGCTTCAGTTTCCTTAACTGTAAAATGGGGATAATAATAGCACCTACCTTCCAGGGTTATTTGGAGGAGATTGTAAAGTGCTTTGCAAGCTTTAAAACACTGTATAAATGGTAGTTATTATTATAAGCAAGGTCAATGTGGCACCCTGACTGAATCATACAGAGTTCTAGGCTTGATTATAGATGAAACGGTACCTGTGGCCACCATATGCAGGATGTAGAAAGCAAGAGATTTCAAAAGGGTCTGATCTTGAACTGAGGAGAGAAAATAGAAAAGAGCAGCCTCATGCTATTAAATAGCAGTAGGAACTCATGCTTTTCCAATGACAGGACTGTGAGAGCCATACAGCTTATATCTTATGGTGGGGGAAACCTCCTTAGATTGTCAAGTTTCTGTCAAAGGGACAGAAACTTAATTAGATATACTCACCTCTCAGTCAGATGGGAAGGGGAGCTGGAAATCTGAGACTGGAAATCTGGATGCCTGAGAGCAAAGTTAGTGCCAGATGCTGTCCTGCTTGTATAAACCATGTTAAATCAGGAGAGAAGCATAGAACTCTGAGTTCCTGCAGGTATTACCATGAAGCTGAATCCATAGGTTGTGGATGATGATAGGGCCTAGGATAGGTTTGTAAGTGAAAAAGCCCTGGTTTGTTTGTTTACCTTTGACCCCTTGGGCTTGGAACAAGGTGTCTAAACTTCCAGAATTTTGCCCTTCCTACTACTAGGGAGTTGGCCCAGGAACTGGTTTTGTCACAGGCTGGTGAAACACATCCTTTTCATTGATTTATTGCTAATCTTCTGATTAAATTATGTTACAAAATGTCTCGAGAAGAAATGTGGCAAGGTGGATAGTGAACTGGCTCTAGAGTCAGCGAAATGTAGTTTCAAATCCTGCTTCTGATATATTAGGGCACTGTGAGAGACCGTAGGCAAGTTACCTAACTTTTCAAGATTCCTGGAAATGCTCTAATACCTTTAAGCTGCACAACAGTTGATTATTTGTATTGGTAAATAGTGTTTCCTCACCAGAAGTTCCCTATGCTGATAAAATCACATATGTAGAATGACAAAAAAAAAAAATCTTTTAACTGACCTTCCATGACATGTATTATGGACAAGATGGAGTTTTTCTCAGCAGGTTGGAGGCTCAAGACCTGGTATTCAATAAGATGTTGCAGAACCAAAACCTAGACTAATGCGAATGTCAACATTACTCATAAAAGAGGAGAGCTGAGGACTGAATGGCAGCCAGATATTCCAAGGGTCTGAGAGAGGCACAGAGAGCTTGGCAGATAGCCCATAGTACCCTTTGGTATTGAGTAGTATGCATAATAGATGATGCTGAGTGACAGCCACATGCCTAGGCCCTGACAGCTGCCTAAGACCAAGCACTGGTCTCAGTACCGCCTCCTTACCTCTCACATGAATATGAGCTATCATTATTCTTAGTACTTCTTCTATAAGTAATGAGGATAAGGTTTTTTTTTTAATCCTCCCTTGTTTGCCCCCTGAAACCAACAAATAGGCCTTCTTTAGGTTTTAAAAGAACTTCTACTGCTAACAACATGGAAACACACAAGTTTAAAATAATAACAAAGTCACGAAAATTACTTAACTCTTAAAAGCTAACACTGATCTTCCATGTCAAAGTAGGGAAAGCTAAGCTCAGCCTTGTTCTAAGCCTTCTCTCTCTAGAACCCCAATAAAACTCCTTCCCTCTCTGTTAGCAGCTGATCTCACATCCTGCTTTACCAAGAAAATCCAGGCCACACATTGCAGGCACCCTCATCTCTACTATACACCTCAAAACCTCTGCACATCATCTTCGATCTTTTCTTTCTTTGCTGTAGTCTCAGAGAATCAATACCCTTTCTCTTTGCCAAGGCTAATTCTTCTCTGTCTCCTTTGTCCTATCCCATCCAGTCTCCTTTGTAACCTTGACCCATCAATCATCCTCTCTCCCTCTTTCATCTTGAATTTCTCCCTATCTATTGGCTTTTTTCCTCCTACCTACAAATGTGCACAGATATAATAATATATAGTAACAACTAGCACTTATAGAACACTGACTCTGTGCCAAACACTGTTCTAAGCACTTTACAAATATCTCATTTGATCCCCACAATCTTATATGATAGATAGATTTCTCCCATTTTTAACAAATCTTCTCTTGACCCTATTCTTCACACTAATGTCCTACACCTCTCCTCTTCATGGCTAAAATCCTAGAGTTATCTATACTTGTGGCTTCATTTTCTCATCATCTACTTACTCCTCATCCCCTTGGAAACTATACTCTGAACACATTATTCTAATGAAATTTGCTTTCCCTAAAGTTGCCAGTGACCTTTCATTGCTAAATCCCATGAAGTCTCCATCTCCCATCATAGCTTTAAACATTGTTGACCACCCCCTCCTCCTGCATACTCTGACACCATCCTTTCATAGTCAATAAACACTAAGTGCCTATTAGGTGCCATTGTATAAAGCATTGAGGACACAGATAAGTTAAAGATAGTCCCTGCCTTCCAGAATCTTACAATCTAATGCGGAAGATAATACACAAAGGAGGGTAGGGCAGCAGGGTGGAATAGTGGGGAGTGGGGGAGACATGATGCTAGGGGAGTTGAAACCAAGCCGGACAGCTGATGGAAAATGAAGTTAACTGGAAAAATCTGAGCCCTCCATAAAGGGAAACTTTGGGAAAAATTTATTACTCCACCTTCCAGAAGTGAGAGACAACTGAGGGTACTGAGGAGACATTACTCCTTCTCAGTCTCCTTTGGTGGTTCATCTATCCTTCTCACTAGGGATAAGTTTCAGAATTCTAAGGTGTCTGTCCTGTACCACCTTCTTCTCTTTTTCTATAGTGTCACAGTGACCTCTCATTTATTCCTATTTCTATACAAACAGCTTATTTATATATATATATATATACACATATTAGACATACACATGTGTAAACACACATGTGTACATAAACACACATATATAACTTGCTCCGATTTCTATACAGTATATATATTGTATATATATGTGTATGTACACACACACACACACACATCACTGGATTTGTAGCCAAGCTGTCACTTACTACCTGTGTGTCTTTGGGTGTCATTTAACATCTATGTGCCTCAGGTTCTCCAACTGTAAAACTGGAGGTGGAGGAGAGGTAGACTAATTGACCTCTACGTTCTCTAACTTTCTGTCCTGAATCCTAGGCAAGAAATTCTGGTCAAGTAAACCTCCCTGTTCACACCTCAAATTCAACATATCTAAAATTGAACTCCTAAGCTTTTCTCATTAGACTTGTCCTTTCCAATTACTTCTTGTAATACACTCCACATTCCTGCCAAACTGAACCACTGGTTTTCCCCAAAACTTGATATTCGTGGGCATTGGCACAGAACATGGAATGAATTTATTTCCTCTGGATTTCTGCTCCCAGAATCCTTCTCTTCCTTCCAAGCTCAGCTCAGATGCCACCTACCCTTGTTCTGCCCAGTTGAAAGTGTTCTCCTCCTCAAATTTTTCTGGAGCTCGAGGTCTGGATCTTTCTTGTGCTTTTTCAAGTCTTATTTTGTTTTATGTGCATGTTCATCTGTAGCCCTCCCCACTCCCGCCCCACTGTAGAATGTAATCTTCCTGAAGGTAAGGACCTTCGCAGCGCTAGGGGAAGCCCAGCAGTGTTTTGCATACGTCGTGTTTATTTAACTGAAATACTGAAAATACTACTATTGGAGATTCCCTTCGCCTTCTTTCTCTCCCCTCCATCTCCCCCCTCCTGATCTAATATCCACCTCCTTCTCCCTCCCACTTCCCTCGTCCCTCCCTCAGCCCTTCCGGCGCCCGCTCACAGGGCCACGTGACCCGAGAGCGTGAGAGTCGCGCGGCCCTCCCACTCCTCTCTCTCCCTCCCTCCGCCGGGAGTCGGGGCCTCGTCTCCGCTCGTGGTAATGTCAGCCCTGGCGCCCGAGGAGAGGCCGCCATCCCCGGGAGAACCCCCATCGCCGCTTCCGGCCGGGGCTCGGTATTTCTGTACTGTCGGCCGCGGCCTGGAGCCCTTCCTCACGCGGGAGGTTGGAGCCCGCCTGGCAGCGACGGAGGTGAGTTCCCTCCTTCCCTGGAAGCCGGCTGCCCGGCGTAGCCCCGCCCCCCCCGGCCCCTGAGTGGGCGAGCTGCGCTGGGGGCGGGGTCTTGTGGGTGAGCCGGAACTCCTCCCCTCTCCTGGTCTGAGCTCCGGGCCGGCTTCCTCCTGGCTCTCGGTGGGGGGCCCAGAGCCGGCTGAACCCATTGGCTGCAGCTGCTCCCTAAGAAGGAGGGAGGGCGGAGCATTTCTGAAGCACCTGCCAGGTGCCAAGCATTTGTGATTAGTGCCGAGCATACAGAAGCAAGCAAGAGAGCCCCTGCCCTCGAGGAGCTTACATTCTAATAGAAGGCAACACGTAGAGGGGAGCATTACAGAACTGAGGAATGAAAACAAGCCCTTGCCCACCTTTTGAAGAAACTCAGGTGGCCTTGGACCTAATAATAATATTAACACCTAGCATTTTTATAGCTCTTCAAGGTTTGCAAAGCACTTTACTTAATAGTTCATTTAATCCTTACAACAATCCCAGCAGATAGGTGCTTCTATTATTATCCCCATTCTACATATGAGGAAAGGAAAGCACAGAGAAGTTGAGAAATCTACCTGAGGTCACACAGTTTACAAGTGTAAGATTGGATTGGAACTCTGGTCTTCCTGACTCTAAATCTAACACTCTATTTACTACATTTAGTCATGGAAGGCCAACTCCCTCATTTTATAGATAAGAAAACTAAAGCCCAGGGAGGTTTAGTGACTTGCCCAAAGTCACGTAGGACTTGAATCCAGGTCTTATGACTCTGAATCCAGGGGACTTTATATTGCACCAAGGCAACCCTCCAGTTTTCTAGTGGGACCATGGATTATAACCCAATCAGTAAACATTTATTAAGCACTTGTTATGTGCCAGGCATTCTACAAAATGCTGAGGATATAAAGAGAGACAAGACAGCCCTTGCCCTCAAGGAGTTTGCAATCTAATGGGGGAGAAGATATGAAAACAAGCAAGCAGAATGAATAGGAAATAGTTAACAGAGAGAAGGGCACTGGAATTAAGAGGTCTATGGAAGGTTTTCTGTATAATGTGGGATTTTAGTTGGGACTTAAAGGAAATCAGGGAGGCCAGTTGTCGGGAGTGGAGCATTCCAGGCGTGGGATTCCAGCCAGACAAAATGCCTGGAGCCAAGAGATAGAATGTCTTGTTCTTAGGAGAGAACAAGGCCAATGTCACTCGATGGAAGAGTACCTGTTGGGAGTAAGGTATAAGAAGCCTGGAAAGGTAGGAAACAGCAGCATTGTTAAGGGCTTTGAAGGCCAAACAAAGCCTTTTGTATTTGATCATAGAAGCAATAGGGAGTCACTGGAGTTTACTGAGTAGTGGGGGTGATTTCTTCAATGATTGGACTTACTTTTTAGGAAAATCACTTTAGTGGCTTAATGGAAGATGGACTCAAGTGGCCTGTTTGCCCATTGAATTTTCTATTAATTCAACAAACCTTACTCACCTATAAAGTACAAGACCCTGGGGAAACAAAGCCTTTATCACCTCAATTCCATGTTTGTAGAGTTTTCAATTCAGTACCAGAGGAAGGCTACACAGATAATTGTCATGTAATGGAAAGTCCCAAAGTGCTACGAGAAATTTGAGATCCTATTTGCTGGGGGGGGGGGGGGGGGGAGGGGTCAGACAAGGCAGAGATGGATTCCTGAAACAGATGCCATCTGAATTGGGCCTCAAAGCTTAATCAATTATATTTGGGGGGTGGGGATGGTATGGCAGATTTCAAGCATGGGGTACAGCATAAGCAGAGGCACAGACAAGAGAGGGTAGGGTGGGAAGGGGACAGTTATCCAGTCTGGACTTTAAATACAGAGTATGTGGAGAAGAATAGTACATGATATGCCTGGAAAGTTGAATTGGTAGGGAGGAAGGTGCTTTGAGCGCTAGAATGAGGAATTTATGTTTTATCTAATAGGCAGTAGGGATCCATGATAATTTTTTGAGCAAAAAATGACATGTTAGAACTGTCTGTTTGGAAAACTACTTTGACAATGGTGTAAAAGATGGATAATGAAGGGGTAGACAGGCTAATTAAAAACTTGCCAGAGGTCATCTGGTTATATAAAAACAGCTGTCCAACCAAATCTCTTTCAGGAGGAGAAAAACAAGTCAGCAAATACCAAAAGATCCACACATCATTGTGGAACCTAACTTGAATGTATGAAATATGTGTTAGTGTTACTTTAAAAGCTAGGCACATATATATGTAGCTTCCTAACCCTTAAGAAACTCCCCTTTTGAGAAGCCCATAAAAGGGAAGATATTTTTGGAGTCCAGGAGTTGGGGGAAAGATCAGAACATCATGGTAGAAAGTGATTTGTGTTTCTGGAATTTAAACTTGTGCTGCTAGAAAGATAGCCATTATTCAGTGGCACTGATGAAAGCCTCATTAGATTGGTACGTAGGTGTTTGGCCACTGAATTATAAGAGGCATATGGGAAAATTTTAGAGGAGTCAAAAAAATGCAGCAAAAATTATTAAAGAATAACTATGTTAAAGCAGTTGGAATTATTTAACCTGAAAAATAAAACATTATGGATTGACTTAGCATAGGAGTACATAAACGATTATTAAGAAAGAAACAAATTGTTTTCTCTCATTCATTCATTAGTATTTATTGAGCACTAACAATATGGAAGACATCAAGTTAAGCTCTGGAAAATGCTTGAAAACCAGGGATCTCTCATTGAGACAGTTGAATCAGGCTGATTATTTAAGTTTCTGTGTGATCAATTTCTAGGGAACCTGTGACCTCAAGGCCACATGTGGCCCTCTAGGTCTTTGGGTATGATCTTTTGACCCAGTCCAAGTTTTACAGAACAAATCCTTTTATTAAGGGGATTTGTTCTGTGACATTTGGATTCAGTCAAAGGGCCTTACTTGAGAACCTAGAGGACCACATGTGGCCTTGAGGCCACAGGTTCCCCATCCTTGAGTTCTAGTGGATTGTATCTTTTTTTTTTTTGTAAGTTGACTAATTTCAGCATAAAGCCACAATAGGGGAAAAAAGTGTTTTTGAATTTTCAGCACTGAGTTGTACTGAAATAAATACATCAATCCTCTTTCTTAGTACCCAGGTCATCTAACAATTAAGCAAAGGTTATTTTTAATAGCATTTTATTTTTTCCAATTACATGTAAAGACAATTTTTAACATTCATTTAAAAAAAATTTGTTCCAAATTTTCTTCCACCCTCCCTCTCTTCTCCCCTCCCTAAGATGATAAGCAATTGGATATAGGTTATGTATGTGCAATCATGTAAAACATATCTCCATATTAAATCTCTTCAGACCAAATTGTACCTTTTAATTTATGAAACTTTGAAAGCAATAGAGGACTTGCCTTACAAGTTCAAGTCCTGCCTGTGACTCATACTGACTTTGTGACCTTGAGCAAGCCATGTAACTTTTTGGCACTGCAGTCATCTCTCTAAGACATTAAGTGAAAAACATGCTTCATTTCTGTATTTATGGAGGCAGTTTCCACACCAGAGTTCACTACACCTATGAAGTCACAAGTCCTGAACATGAATTTGGTACCTGGTACCCCAGGTTATACTTTTTGACTTGGATCTCTATTTGATTTTCAGTGTCAGACTTGAATCTGTGATTTTCAGGATAAAAGCAAAAATGCCAGCTGCCTCAAAGTATTAGCACTTGGATGACAGCACTGTTGTATCATCTTTGAAAGTGCTAGACATAAAAGCAGCTTGGCTTGGGCTTTGCTGGTAATTGGCTGTGTTCCCACATGGAGGAAAACAAATGCTATCTATATAAATAAATTTTCAAGCAGCAAATATTAGGATGAAAATACGCTAAACTGGCACCTTTTACTTTAGTCTTGTGACTGAAAATAAATGATCAGTTAGGAAGCTTTAAGCTTAGCAGCTGGTTTCTGTTACCATCGATACATTCCTCTTAGAACTTGGTTTAGTTCTTTGAGCTGCTAAAGAGGAAGAGGGTCAGATCATAGCCTTGATGTTGACTGAAGGAAGTCATTTTCTGAAGTGTTTTTTTCTCTTTTTTAGAATGTATTCAACATTTCTAGGTCTGCCTTTATATTGTTCTTTTCATTTTGGAACCTTAAACTGTTCCTTCTGGGTTTTTTTTTGTTTGTTTGGTTTTGGTTTTTTTTTTGCTTTTTGGTGAGGCAGTGGGGGTTAGTGACTTGCCCAGGGTCACACAGCTAGTAAGTGTTAAGTGTCTGAGGCTAGATTAAACTGTTCCTTCTAAGCAAACCCTTTGAGGGTCTTTAAGGGCTTCTGGATTGACTTATTGCTCTTCTTCTATCTCATGCTGTTGGAATGATCTGAATTCAGATCCCACCTAAGGCACTTACTGGCTGTGTGATCCTGGGCAAGTCACTTAGTCTTTGTCTGCCTTAGCTTTCTTAGCTGTAAAATGGGGATAATAGTAGCATCTACCTCCCAGGGTGGTTGTGAAGATCAAATGAGAAAATATTTGTAAATATCCCTGACTTGGAGTCAGAAACTCTGAGTTTGAAACTTCAGAAACTAGCTGTGTGGTTCTGGACAAGTCACCTAATCTCTGCCTGCCTCAGTTTCCACATCCGTAAAATGGAGATATTTATAACATGAGGATCAAAAGAAATATCATGTAAAGTTCTGTGCAAACCTTAAAGTGCTATATAAATGCTATTATGATGATGATGAGTTTCTTTTAGAATAAATAAAAATGTTTCAAAATTTTGTGTAATTAAATATATTAGCTAACAAAGTTGGTGTTTTACAGTGTTTTACACAACCAGTAAATCTTTAATTGACTTATTTCTAGTAAAATATTTAATATGACCCCTCTGAATATTTTTAACTGTTAATAGTAATAACTGACTTACATAGCACTTCAAAGTTTGCAAAGTATTTCACTTCTCTTTTCTCATGTGATCCTTCACTGTGCTATGGATGTTGAAAGACTTATTTTACAGAAGAAGAAACTAATGCTCCCCAACTTAAGTGCGCAGGGTCACGAAGAGAGTTAAGTGTAGAAGACAGATTTGGAACTTGCTCTTTCTGACTCCAAGTATGAGGGGTGGAGGGTGGAGTAGGGTGGGTGGATGTTGGGCCACTAGTTGGTGCCTTAGTGCATGGAGCTGGCCTTGGAGTCAGGAAGGCTCCTCTTCTTGAGTTCATATGTGGTCTCAGACACTAATTGTGTGACCATGGTCGAGTTACTTAACCCTGTTTGCCTCAGTTTCTCATCTGGAAGATGAGCTGGATAAGGAAATGGCAAACCACTCAGGTGTCTTTGCCAAGAAAACCCCAAATGGGGTCGTGGAGAGTTGTACGTGACTAAAACGACTGAACAACAACAAATATATTTGCAAGTCATTTAACTCAGAATCTCTATTTCTGTTTACTTGAAAAAAGAATCATTTTACAGTATTGATAGGTTCTATATAAGACAGGCAATAGAAGGTAGTGATTTGTTCAGAGAACTTAAGTTTGAATCCCGGCTCTATTTACTACTTTTTGTGTCCTTTAGCAGGTTATTTGATATTTTTGGGCCTCAGTTTTCTCACCTGTAAAAATGAAGGCACCTGAAATCAGGAAGACTCTTCTCCCTGAGTTAAAATCTGGCCTCAGACACTTACTAGCTGTGTAACCCTTAGCAAGTCACTTAATCCTTTGTGCCTCAGTTTCCTCATCTGTAAAATGAGCTGGAGAAGGAACTGGCAAACCACTCCAGTATCTTTGCCAAGAAAACCTCAGATGGGGTCATGAAGAGTCGGATATGACTGAAAAATGATTGAACAGCAATAACAGTACCTTTCAAGGTTGTGAGAATAAGATGAGATGATATTTGTAAATCGCTTTGCAAACTTTAAAGCACTATGTAAATGCTGTCTATATTACTATAAATCTCTTAAACTCTCAAAGCCTTAGTTTCCTTATATTTGAAATGGGAATAATAATATTAGTACTACTTATTTGGCAGGATTATTATGAGAAAAATGCTTTGCAAAGCTTAAAACACTATATAAAGGTGAATGACATTTTTATCTCTTAAAATATGTTATTTAAATTATCTGTCAGTAGTGTTTCCCATATGTTTCTATATGTGTACATACTAAAGAAAAAAGCAAAATTTCAAGTACTAGAATAATAACATCTGTATTTTTCTCTTTCATTAGGTTGAGTATGTTTCAGGAAAGGTTTTTTTCACTACCAATTGTGGTTTAACAATGCTGAAACAACTAAAATCTGCAGAAAGACTATTTTTGCTGCTTAAAAAGCAACCTCCACTTTTCATTTCTTCTAGAAGTAAAGGTAGGAAATATTTAGACTTTTATCTTCTAATATCTACTGTTCTGAGTTAACTCAAATGTATAACTCCTCTGATTTGTGAGCACTAACTTCTGTTATTTGTAAGGCTGTTTTTCTCCTTAGTGAGCCTCTGAGTCCATTCATTATAGCAGGTTTGTTCCTGTACCTCCATCTTCTCCTTACCCCAGTCAGGCCCCTGAGAACCCCAGGAGTGGATTCCCCTTTCCTAAAGGTCTTTCAACAAAGGCTGGATAACTCTTGTTTTGGGTGTGTTGTTGAGGGAATTCTTGGGCGGGTATGAGTTAGTGGCCTCAGTGGCCTCTGAAGGCCCAGCTTTTAGATTCTATGATTGAAATCTCTTCAGACATTATTGGGAGGATTGGGGGGTGGAAGGAGAAGGTGGGGAGCTATCCCTGTTATAATAATCATAGGAGTTCTTGCCCCGATAACCCAGTTCCTTTTGTCACTGAGATTTATGATCAAATTTATTTGTACAGAAGCAGGTGGTCAGAAACCTCAGGGTCAGGCACAGGCTTCCCTATCCATTTCCACTTCAGAGAATGCAGACAGGAGTGGTTTCCTCACTGTTCTGTTATAATTACTAATCCATGAGTCACGGAGCAGAGGGGTCTCTCTAGTTGCCACAGGTTTTCTTACTGATATGGCACAGGTTGAGCAGCAAGTATATTGAGGAGGGAAGAAAGGAGCACAAGAGATGGATGCTCATAGGCCCGCTGCCTAAGAGCTAGTGTGGCACTAGTGTGGAGGAGGCTTCATTTGGGGTAGCGTTCACATGGGTGACTTGAGTTAGAAGTCAAGTGTTTTCAGAATTGTGAAATCACTGAATGAGTTCCCAGGAGCCTTAGGGCCCATCTATTCCAATCCATACCTCAGTAAAGAATTCTCTCTACAACATAAGCTAGCAAAGAGTCACTCTCCTTTGCATGAAGAGGAGCATGTTCACATATAGCATTTAGCACAGTCCCTCTCATGTAGTAAATGCCTAATGAATGTTAATTATATAAGTATGTATGAAATATACAGAAAAGAAATGCAGCATAATTGAGTGGGAGAAGCATTTAACAACTGGAGGAGATGAGGAAAAGCTTAACATAAGAAGTGGCATGTGAGCTGAGCTATGAGGAAAACAAACTCAGGTATCTGAGAAGCAGAGATCAGGAGGGAGAGTGTTGCAGGCATATGGATCCATCTAGTGCTACAGGCACCAGGATTGGAAATGGAGTGCCATGTGTGAAGAACAGCAAGAAGACCAGTTTGATGGGACCATAGAGGATGTGAAAAGAAGTAAAAGTCATGCCAGCCTAATTTAATTTCCTTTTTCATAGCATTAGTTTATCAGTATAATACTGCATAGGTGCCTGAAGGGGAGCATGTAACAGTCCCAAAATTGTGAAGGGCTCTAAATGCCAAGCAGTATTCTAGAGGAAATAGGAAGCAACTGGAGTTCATTGAAAGTCAATCAGTCAGTAAACATTTAAAAGTGCCCACTATGTGTCAGGCACTGAGTGGAGTGACAGGATCAGACTTGTGCTTTATGAATATTACTTTGGAAGTTATGTAGATGATTGATTGAAAGAGGGGAGACAATTGTGTTTTATACCCTAAAACTGGTGGCATCATGGTGAAGTGAGAAGAACACTAGATTTGGAGTCAGAGGACTTTATTCAAATTCTGATTCTCTCACCCACCTTTATGACCTCACTTAGCTCTTTGAGTCTTAGTTCCTTCATCTGTAAAATGAGGTGAATGGATTAGATGATCCCCTAAGGGTCCTTCAAGCTCTAAATCCTATTAACCTAATGCCTCGAACAGTCACATTGAACAGTCACATTAAACCCAGCCGAGCAAATTTTAATTGGTGAATGAAATAACTGAATAAAAAGCAAGACAGTAAACTTCAGTTATCTGGTACCCAGAAGTCTGGCAGCTGAAGCATGACTGTGGAGCATTTAGACACCATTGAAGACCCTATCCACTGCAGCCCGGGCCATTACCAGTCATCCTGACTTTTGTCTTGCCACTGGATGACCCTGGAAGAAAGAGGCTGACTTCGTGCAACTCTGCCTCACTTAAATCCAATTTGCTGTAAGGAATGCTGTAAGACATCATCCTCATCCATGATGTCATTGGTCCTTTTTGAAAACAAAGGATGAACAACACGCAGAAGTCTTGTGCTGTCAAGTAATTAAAGCTACTGTGATCTAAACATAAATGGATAACCACAATGAAGTCTCACTCAAGCTAGTACTTGCAAAATACAATTTGATTATTTAAATGCAGTCTCCTCAAAGTACTTTAAATTGTATGATTTCTCCCCTAAGTCCCTTTATAAAGTTGAAACAAGAAAGCTAAAAGTGAGGTGAAGCCAGGTAGGAAGTTGAAGGGGTTAATATTGCTGAAATAAGAAAAACATTTGAATATCACATTTTTAGAAAGTCAAAGGACATTAATAAATATTCTAAAAAACATGGGTTATTTAAATTAAAGTCCTATGCGAAAATTACTTCAAAGACCCTTTAACTGTAATTAATTATGTACCACGTGTATTAACTTCTCTAATTACCAATCATTTCACATGTTACCTCACGATCCTCATAACAACCCTGTTTTGTAGGTAAAGTACCTGAGACCCTGAAAGTTACTTACTCATTCACAAAGCTAGTCAGTTTACTTGACTATGTCAAGAATGATTCAAATGACAAGAAATAAAACTGTCAAAGATGGAGAAGCAAATAAGTTTAACGGAACCTCAGTGTAAGCATTTTTTCAGCCCCAAACAATAGGATCCTAAATTTAAACCTGGAATGGACCTTAGAAGTCATCTAGTCCAACCTCTCTCATTTTACAGATAAAGAAACTGAAACCTGATCCAAGGTCACAAGGTATAAAGTAATAATGCTGGGATTTGAACACAGGACCTTTGCTTCCAACTCCACAATCTTTCCATTGTACCATACCTTCCTCCATTGATCATAATGGTTACACAAAGTCATCAAGAAAAACTAAAATTATTTTTCATATCCAGATATCCACCAACTGGCAAAGAGTGTTCATTGTACACTCTCACATCCAGACTTCAGGTCTGAAGATTTCTTCCAGGCAGTGAGTTAGCTGCATCTGCCAGGGCTGACTCTTCTACCTCCCCAAATGCTAAATATCCCTGCAAGGAAGGGCAACAGAACCCAGAGTTCTTTGAGGTCTGCACAAGGCTCTGCTAGTCCCAGAACCCACTTTTCTCACACTCCCACAAATTCCTGTGCAAACACTGTTCTCTAGGGAAGCCCAGGCTTCCACGTTGCACACATTATATACCCCCTTTCACTCTTCTTGGACACAAACTGATCCCACATTCTCTTCGCTCTGTTGTCCTTCTCTTCCACTCCATCCACTCAAATACTTCTCCAAACCTGTTCACAGATATACCAAAGCGCCAGGACCTGTTAACACCCAGGCTTGATGATCAACATTAAAAGAAAGAATTGACTTTAAACAGTCTTAGAAGGGATAATTAACATTTGCTAACCCTTGAAGTTACATTGTATCCTCCCTGCATAGTTATTTGCTTTCCCTCAGAATTGTTAACTTTAACTGTAGGTTATGAATAGTTTCAATTGCAAAGTTTGTTTGTAAAGCAGTTGTTTGGAATTCCTAGCATATTTTCCCATAGAAACATCATTCTAAAAGGTTAGATTTTCTAGTCTATTAATCCATAATAATAGTCTACACTCACATGATACTTTAAAATTTATCACTTTACACTTGATCTCATCGTTTCTTCACAACCCCTTACAAGATATAGAGAGTATATTATTATCCCATTTTATAGATGAGGAAATAGAGCCAGAGAGGTTGTGACTTCCCCAGGGTCACTCTGGCCAGTAGTTCAATTCCAGGTCTTCTTACTCCTCACTCTAACAGCGTTCTTTATGTTTGATCTTATAAGGCATGAGCCTTGAATCTGGCAGGAAGACTGGTAATAAGTCCTAGGACTATAAGGAGTCCAATGGCAACTCCAAGCATCACCAGTATGGGAATTTTTTTGTGCTTAACTATGTATATTTGGTATAAGTTTTTGTTTTGTTTTGTTCTGTTTTTTTTTGTTTGTTTGTTTGTTTTATTTCGAGGGGGATGTGGGAGAGGGGGAAATTGGAGGGGAAAAAAAATAAGTACTCATTAATTGAAAGAAACAAAATTAAACCCAGAGATTATGTTAAGAAAGAGTATTAGCAGGCCAGAGTTCTGATGGCAATTGACATTCATGTGGATAGTGATCTCCAAGTCAAACACATCTTTTTACAGAAGTAGAGAAATGTGAGCTGACAAAAAGGGTTAAAATAAAAAGTTTGGACCCTTGGAACATTAACCTTCACTTATCTGGAACCTCTTCCCCACCACCATCCAGGAAAATAAACTTCAGTACCATGGTGCTGGTATAGTTTTATTATCCAATCTGGATGCTAATTTTAATAATGGAAAAAGTGTCTAGTATTTATAAAATTGGATCTTGCCGCATATAACTCTTTGTCTGTGCAGAACTCATCAGCATCTCTTTTTATTTTTTTTATTTTAATTATTTTTATTTTTTGCTTTTTGGTGAGGCAGTTGGGATTAAGTGACTTGCCCAGGGTCACACAGCTAGTAAGTGTCAGGTGTCTGAGGTCACATTTGAACTCAGGTCCTCCTGACTCCAAGACTGGAACTTTATCCACTGTACCACCTACCTGCCCCCAGCATCTCTTTTTTAAAGACAGATACCTTCTCTGTGAAATTTAGGACCACCCTGGGTGAGAGTGGGAGTTCTTTGTTAGCATTAAGAATAAGTTACCTTGAAGAAATTAAAGCTGTCTATAGTCATGTGAAAAAATACTCTAAATCACTATTGATTAGAGAATTGCAAATTAAAACAGCTCTTAGGTACTACCTCACACTTGTCAGATTGGCTAATATGACAGAAAAAGGAAAATGATAAATGTTGGAGACGATGTAGGAAAATTGGAACACTAATACATTGTTCGTGGAGTTGTTACTGCACCAAAAGAGAGAATAGAATAAAGGGGGGGGGGCGGGATAGGATTAAGGGAAATAAACTTAGTTTTTCACAACATGACTACTGTGGAAGTGTTTTGCATAGCTACACATGTATAACCTATATCAAGTTGCTTGCCTTCTCAATGAGGGTGGGTGGGGAAAGAGGAAGGGAGAAAATTTGGAACCCAAAGTTTTAAAAACAAATGTTAAAAAAAAAATTGTTTTCATATGCAACTGGGAAATAAGATATACAGGAAATGGGGTATAGAAATCTATTCTGCCCTACAGGAAAATTGAAGGGGAAGGGGATAAGGGGTGATGGGAGATAGAAGGGAGGGCAGATTAGGGGAAGCAGTATTCAGAAGGCGTGCCATCTTGGAGTAGGGGGAAGGACAAGATGGGGAGAAAATTTGGAACTCAAAATCTTGTGGAAGTAAATGTTGAAAACTAAAAATAAATTAATTTTTTTTAAAAAGTCACAATTTAACAAAAGATTTAGTAGCTTCCACGTTAAAGGAGCAAAGAGCTTAGAATATGATATTCTAGAAGACAAAGGAGCTAAGATTACAACCAAGAATAACCTACCTAGAAGAATTGATTATAGTCCTATGGAGCAGGAGCAAGGGGGAAAGGGAATGGATATTTAATGAAGAAAAGAACCTTCAAGTATTCCTGAGGAAAAGTTCAGAGCTGAATAGGAAATCTGAGATTCAAACATAAGACTCAAGAAAAGCATAAAAAAGTAAACATAAGTGAGAAACCATAAAGGACTTAATAAAATTAAACTCTTTACATTTCTATATGGGGAGATGATACATGCAATTTCTAGGAACTTTATCATCATTAGGGCAGTTATAAAGCATCTCCTTAGAGAGCATGTGTTTAAGTCTATTGTGTTGAGATGAGCTCAAAAAGGAAATTGGAAGATTGAGAAAGGGGTGCACTGGGAGTAGGGGGAAGGGAGAGGAAGAATAGGGAAAATTATCCGATATTAAAGAAATTTTTAAGGAAGAATTTTTACAGTGAAGGAGGAATGTACAATGCTTGAACCTTACTCTCATCTGAACTGGTTCAAAGAGGGGAGAATATATATTACACACAGTTGGGTACAGAAATTCATCTTACTCAATAGGAAAGTAGGAGGGAAAAGAGAAGAGAAAGAAGGATGGTAATAAGAGGGAGGGTAGATTAGGAGGGATTGGTCAGAAGCAAAATAGTCTTTTGAGGAAGGACCAGGGTAAAAAAAGAGGTGGATAAATAAAAGAGAATAGAATGGAGGGAAAAACACAGCAATCATAACTATGTATATAAATGGATGAACTTATCCATAAAATGGAAAAGGATAGCAGAATGGATTGAAAACCAGAATCCAGCATGTTGTTTATAAGAGACACACTCAAAACAGAAGGATACACAGAGTCAAAATAAGAGGCTGGAGCAGAATCTATTACGCTTCAGCTGAAGTAAAAAAGGCCGGGGTAGCAGTCATGATCTCAGCTAAAGCAAAAGCAAAAACAGACCTACTTTAAGATAATCAGGGGAACAACATTTTGCTAAAAGGTAGATTGGACAATGAATTAATTTCATTATTGAACATACATGGAACAAATGGCATAGCATCAAAATACTTGAAGGAAAAGTTAAGTGACTTACAAGAGGAAGTAGTAAAACTATACTAGTGGGGGACCCCTGGTCCCCTCAGACCCTTCGGTAAAGCTAACTGTACAATAATAATAAGAAAGAAGTTGAGATGAATAGAATTTTAGAAAAGTTAGATATGTAGAACTCTGGAGAATATTGAACAGGAACAGAAAGAAGTATAACTTTTTCTCTGTTGTACATGGCACCTTTACAAAAACTGACCATGTATTAGGGCATAAAAACTGTTGGGAAAACTTGAAAGTAGCATGGCAGAAATTAGACAGAGAGCATCTCACACCATACATATATAAAGATAGCTCAAAATGGGTACATGATTTAGACAATAAAGGGTGGTATCATAAGCAGTTAGAGGAGCATGGAAGAAATTACCTGTCAGACCCATACATGAGAAAGAGTTCATGACCAAGAGAGAGAGAAGTTTGTGGTAGTTAAAATGGATAATTTTGATTACATAAAATTAAAAAGGTTTTTGCACAAAGTCAGTGCAACCAAAATGGAGGGGGGAGAGCAGGGGAAAAATTACAACAAATTTCTTTTATAAAAGTCTTAGTTCTCAGATATGTAGAGAACGGAGCCAAATTTATAAAAAATAGGAGCCATTCCCCAATCGATACATGGTCAAGACATAAGAACAAGCAGTTTTCAAAGGAAAAAAATCTAAGCTATCAATGATCATATGAAAAAATGCTCTAGATCACTAATAATTAGAGAAATGAAAAGTAAAATAACTCTGAGGTACTATCTCACACCCATCAGATTGGCTAATATAACAGAAAAAGAAAATAACATGCTGGAGGGAATGTGGGAAAATAAGTACACAAATGCATTATTGTTGGAGTTGTGAACTAGGCTGACCATTCTGGAGAACAATTTAGAACTATGCCCAAAGGGCTATAAAACTCTTTATACCCTTTCACCCAGAAATACTGATACTAAGTCTATACCCCAAGGAAATTAAAAAAAAAAAAAAAGGGAGGGGGGAAGACCCATAGGTACAAACATATTTATAGCAGCTCTTTGTGTGGTGACAAAGAATTAGATACACAGCAATTGGAGAATGGCTAAACAAGTTTTGGTATGTGAATATACTGGAATACTATCGTGTTGAGTGTAAAAATGATGAAGGGTATGGTTTCATAAAAACTTGGAAAGACTTACATGAACTGATGCAAAGGGAAGTGAGCTGAAACAGCAGAACAATCTATGCAGTAATAGCAATTTGTAACAATAATCAACTGTGAAAGACTTAGTAACTCTAATCAATACAATGATCCACCAAAACTCCAAAGGACTCTGGATATAAAATTCTATCCACTTCCAGATAGAGAACAAATGGGCTCTGAGTGCAGATTGAAGCATATTTTTTCCTTTATTTTTCTTGCTTTTTAAAAACTTCAGATCATGACTATGCAGAAATATGTTTTGCATACCTTCACGTGTACAATGGGTATTGTATTTCTTGTCTTCCCAATGGGTGAGAGAGGGGGTGAAGAGAGGGAGAGAATTTGGAACTGAAAACAAAATTTTGTTAACAAGGATAAAGTATCCTTCTGATGTGTGGTACTGTCAACATTTTAAAGCTTCACACATGTTCTCTAGATTTTTCTCTGTACTTTTATGAAAGCCTTCACTCTATTAGATCATTTTAACTGAAAGATTCCCAGTGTAGCTGTAGAGTTCCTGAGCTCATTTATTATTCTTAAAATAGTTTGATGTAATCAGCTTGTGCTGAGGAATCTAAATATTTGAACTTTCAAAAAATGTCAATGCTTTTTATGTCATATAGAACTTAATTCATTGTGAGTGAACTAATTTCAGAGAATCTGGTCAGTTAACCTAAGTCATACATCCCAGAAGACCATAATATTTTAGATTCAGATCATAGTATCTGCTGATCTTGATCCTATACCATATCCTAATGGTGAAGCATGAATCTCAGAGAACAATAAGACGGTTAGCCATGTCAGTAGTATGTCTGGCTCCAAGAAATTGATTTGTACCGTATTTGTTAATGTTATAGGCTATCTTTACAGTGTGAATACGAGTTAAAATCAGGTGTTTGTATTTATTTAGGAAAAGTATTTAATGAAATTCAAAGACTAGTAACTGGGGATCCCCTGTGTTGGGTACGTGCTGTTTCAATTTGGAGAAGTCTTCTTGAACTGGAAGAAAATCTTCCACCTGAAGTGGCCAAACCCTCCAAAAGGAAGACAGGAGAAAATGAAAACATCATTACTAAGAAGTTAAAAATAGAACAAACGCGAGTGATGCCAGGGGATACAGAATGTCAGCTGCAAAAGCAAAAAAATGACAAGATAGAGGAGCATAAAGATCTGACAACTGAAAAAGAAAACTTTCAAGAAGAAAAGTCTGAAAATGATGGGGAGAAAGAAGTTGAGCATCACCAGGGCAAACTCACTTTCAGAGTTTCTTGTCGCTGTAGTGGAACAATTGCAAAAACATTTACCACAGAGGTAGGTCTTTCTGTCCTCCCCTCCTGTCTCCTCCTCCCCAGAAAGTTTCCTTTTTGAGGAAAAAATTAAATTAGATTTGAAGATAAGGTTTAATGTACACCTCTACATGTATACACATACATGTGTATGAATAAAAACAAAATTTATATGTACTTGCATATATATTTACATACATATATCTGTTTGCATTAAATTACTTAGCTTTTCTCCCCCTTGTTTAAGGGGAGGGAAAGTTATAAAATCCTAGGTAGTTAAACTATTTTTTTTCCAAGCCTAAGTGACTTACCTTTAATTCAAAGATATACTTCTTCGTATTTGAGAATCTTGATTTTAGAAGCCCAGCTTCATATCTTTTGAATGAATGAAAAAAAAAAAACATTTATTAAGCATTTTCTGTGTGCCAAGCACTGTGCTAAGTTCTGAGAATACAAATACAAAAGTGAAGATAGCCCCTGCCCTCAAAGAGCTTATACTCCAATATTGGAAGATAATAGAAATTCCTACGATATTGAGTAGAACAATTAATCCACTTTTAAAATCAGGTGTTTGAAGGCCCAGATAGCACAGAATCATTGACCAGGTGGTTGTAGGACTCTGACAACACAACATCAGTGTAGACATTCCACTCTAATTATGATACCTGGCAAAAATGTCAAAAAGGCTTCCAGAAGTAGAATATGGAGTGTGGGGAGGAGGAGGAAGATATGAGAAGGGTATGTGGTGGGAAGGCAGTTTGTGAGGAGATGGAAGCTGGCTGGAGCTGCCTGGACTTCATAGAGTGAGCCGCATGAAGTACTCAGTAGTCAGTGTGGCAGTCTCCCAGTGCCCAAGGACCTCACTTCCAGAGATGAAAGGAGTAGGTCTTCCATGGCATTGTCTCTCATCTTTTTGTAAGGCCAGGGAGGAAATAGCTGAGTAAAAATGTTATGCCTTCTAAAGCCTCAGAGACAGGGCCAAGATCTCTGACAGACAGGCACCATTTCAGATTATATTTAACAACTATTAATAGCACAAGAATCTCACAGTCTAGCCAACTTTTCTACATCCTGAGATACACAGATTTTCCCGCAGGAGTACTCTCAGGACCATACAACTTTTCTATCAATTCTTCTCCTTTAGCATGCTCCCCCCAAACCTCCATTCTAATAACCCTCTTTCTCTTTACAATATAATATCCATTCTTAATTACCGCTAGAAATTTTCTGCTAGAAAGTTGTATGTATTATTTATACAAGACATAAATTATTTACACAATAACTTAACAGCTAGGTGGCACAGTGAATAGAGCACTGGACTTAGAGTCAGGATAATCTGAATTCAGATCCTGCCTCAGATGCTTCCTTGCTATCTGACCCTAGGTGAGTCACTTAACCTCTTTCAACCTTAGTTTCCTCATCTGTAAAGTGGGGTTAATAATAATACCTACATAACAGGGTTGTTGTGAGGATAAAATGAGATATAAGATGAAAAATATTTTGCAACCCTTAAAAAACTATATAAATACTAGCTGTTATTGTATTATTATATTGATGATGGGAAAAGCACCTTGTATCATCTTTTTAATGCACTGGTGTTTCTTCCTATTAATTGTGATCTTTTGGAGGCCTTTTTGACATTTTTGCCAGGTATCATAATTAGAGTGGAATGTCTGCACTGATGTTGTGTTGTCAGAGTCCTAAAACCACCTGGTCAATGATTCTGTGCTATCTGGGCCTTCAAGCTAAACGACGTGCCAAATGTTAACTATTTGCTGCCTAACATTAGGACTGTGGAGAAGAGACAAAATTGTGTTACCTCTCCATACCTTGGGTTCTTACAAGAGTCAGTGGGAGAGAGGGCATGGTTTAGGGCCTGGTTGGTTGGTTGGTTGGTTGTTGTCCTTCGTTTTTGAAGAGGACCAAAATGACATCACTATATTAGAGTCAAGTTACAGCGTGTCCGACTGCGGCCGATCAGACCAAGGTGAGCTCAGAGTGTTCCAGCACAGGTCAGACACAAATAGTCCATGTCCACTGGGGCCTGGTAGGCAGCCAGAGAATGTTGTATATTTATGACCGCCAAATTGGATCAGTGGCACCACCTAGCCAATCCCTTAACGTATTCATGATAGATACAAATTATTAGAGCTGAACCAGGCATGTGGCAATTCCCATCACATTTTAGACATCCAGAGTTATCAGATTTTCCATGCTGCAATTTAGTCTTTCATGCATTCAGAAGCAAACCATCAGTATGGAAAAGACCACAGATTTAGAGCTAGAAGGAGCCTTGGAAATCACCTAGTTCAAACCTCTCGTTTTCCAGATGAAAAAACCACGTGGCCCCAAGAGCTTAAATGATCTGCCCCAGATCACCCAAGTAGTAAGTGGCCAAACTGAGATTAGAACTCAGGTTCTCTAACTCCAATACAGTGCTCATTCCACTGCTGCGTGCTGCCGCCATCATTCTTTCCCCAAGTAAATTCACAGTTCCTTTTTATATTCTGTAATGGAAAAAGGATGAGATATGGAGTGGGGAACCTGGATCAGAATTCAGCTTGTTACTCCCTGTGCAATCTTGGCCCCTTATGGTACTTTCAGGGCCTCAGTTTCCTAATATATCAAATGAGGGAGGTAGACGAGATGATCACCAGGTCCTTTACAGCTCAAAATCTTGAGATCTCTGATATATGAAAAAGTTTTGTTTGTGTGAACTGTGCTGCCTTGTGGGCGTAGCTTTCTACCAAGCCAAAAGACAAGGCTAATGCATCAAAATAAGCAGATTTGTAAGGGTTTGCTTTTGTGTGCTGGTTAAAGGAAGTACCCCGGTTAAAATCATTTCTTGAAGGAATTGTAAAAACTCCTGATAATTCATCAAATGATTAATTTGCTAGGTGAACAAAATTAATTTTGATTATGGCTTGTTAGATATAGCAGTTGCATTTGTGTGTGTGTGTGTGTGTGTGTGTGTGTGTGAATATGCAACTTTTGTTTTGGATAGGAAATGTTTTAGTATGATATATTTTCATCACATATTCCAACCTTTCTTATACATCTCATTAGTTTTTGGCTATATCTTTAAGCTAATATGTTCATTCATAAAAGTTTAATCTTTTTTCCTTTACTACTTTTCCAGGAGGTGGGAAGGGTAATTGGAATTGCTCTTATAAAGCAGTTTGGCTGGAAAGCAGATTTGAGAAACCCCAGTTTAGAGGTAATGAACATTTATAAAACTCTTTTTGCTACATTTTAAGTTTTATTTTTGAACTGACACTGTTGGGTAGTTTCATAATTTTATTTTCTGTTTTTTAGAATTTTTCTTAAAGAGCACAGCTATACAGAAGCAAAAAGTTGTTCTCATTAGCGACAGAGAATGTGGTTAACTTTGATGGTTTTCATTATAAAAGTTTCTCAATGATCTGTTTATTCACAGTGGGAGGGACTGGTTCTGGATCAATAGAATCCATTTGGAGTATTTATCACCCCCAATAGACATTAAGAAATGCTAGCTATAAGAAAAATCTTTTAGTATTGTTCTGACAGCATCAAATATAATAGGTCACAATTAGGCAACTTTTTATGTTTCATTAATTCAAAGGGTTATTTATTTGACACACCCCACTTAAAATGGAGTGATGTCTCACCCAACTAAAAACTTGTTCTTTGGACCAAGCCAGGGCATAGGCTACTGGTTATAGGAAGAGGAATCCTGTTTGGTGACATTTGGAAGGAAGGAATGTAAGGATTAGAGAGATGAGCAAATTATCCACATTAGCTCAGAAATAGGGCCTAAACAGAGTGTGATAGGAATAAAGTAAAGATAAAGGGAAACTGACAGATTGAAAAGAATGTTCCATTGAGTTTCAAATAGATTGTTAATTGTCCAGCAGGTATGGAGAAACCTCAAAATAGCCTGGGGATTTACATGTAGCCTGTGGCAGGCGCTGAGGAGCCATTTTAGCCCATAGCCTTGCAGAACCTCTTATGTAGGACTGTCCATCTGAGTTATGCAGAGATCTCCTTAAGGTAGATCATTCCAGAGCCCCCAAGCCACATTCATTCACTAAACATTTATTGAGACTTGGGTATGCATATAACTTCACACTATGTATATAGCTTGCATAACCTGATCATGTCAATCCTTTGCTAAATTACTTTCAGTGGTTCTGCACTGCTTACCAAAAGAAATAGAAACTGCTGATCCTGGCATTTAAGACTCTTTCTATGTAATCTTAATTCCAGCCTGCCTTCCCAGCTTTCTCTTATACAATTCACCTTCATGTACTCTGTCCCAACTAAATGAAATGAAGCTCCATTCCTTTTTCTCACCTTATCTTCTTCTGTCTCTATGCTTTTACTCATGTTATTTCTTTCCTCCACCCCTCATCTGGAATGGACTTTACTTTCTTCAGTTTCACTTGTCCGTGCCATTAAGGCCCAACATAGTCACTGTCTTACCTATGAAGTCTCCCCTGGTCCAGTTTACTGTGATGTCTCCCTTCACTGATTTCTCATAGCATTTGCCTAGACTTCTACTTTGTGCTTAACTACACTGCAAGGGAGAGTGACAGCTTTCTGTGTGTGTCCCCCTACTCCATTAGAATGTGCGCTCCTTAAGAACCAGATCTATGCCATATTTTTCTTTACGTCCCAGGTACCTAACATTTAGTAGGTGCCTTTTAAATCTTTGTTATACTGAATTGCTCCCACCTACACTGATACATGAATTTCTAACAGCATACGCTTTTTACCTATAAAATGGATGCATAGCATAACTGAAACCTTTACTTAAGAAAAAAAAATTGTGAGTAAGATTTTTCATTATACTATGTAACCCTGGAGACCTGAGACCTTCCTCTTAAAATATAGGTCTTATGGGCACAGAACTAAAGCGTTCAAGTTGCCACCCAAAAGCCCTAATAGTGGAGTTTTGTTTTTCAGTCTGATTTCTTGTTTATTCTTTCAGATATTTATACATCTAAATGACATTTACTCCGTGGTGGGGATTCCTGTTTTCAGGTAGATGCTTATGTTTTTGTGCTTCAGGATTTTTCTAAGTTTACTAATGTTTTTAAAGTCAACAACTTCATGTGTTTTGTTTGTAGCAAGGAAGGCTAATTTGATTAGATGGAGCTTAAGGCTTGATATTTCATGTTTTGTATATGCCTTTAAAATACTCTGGTAACATATAGTTTTTATTTTATCTATTATTTTAGGGTATAAAAATGTGGATAACAGAAAGCTATAAATTACATTGATGACATTGACAAATTATAGCTAGCTTCTGAAGTATTTTAAATTATTCATTAATTTAGAAAATTAAGACAGACTGGGTAAGAAATGTATATATACATATACTTAGAGAGATAGCAAGCATTTATTAGAATTGAACATACAGTGCAATTCTTGGGGCCCTTAGTGCCCATTACCAAGTCTGCTGCATTGTTAATTCTTTGGAAAGGTCTGGAGAACATTTTTCCAACTCTTTAGAAAATCTAAATATAATGTTTGGCTGGTCATACAGTAGAATACTGTCATGTTACTGTAAATGTAAATAAGGATAATAATAATTCCTACCTCAGTTATCAGAAATTCTTCAAGTTATTTGTATTGTCCTGTACGTGACACCACTAGAATAAAATCAGGGGTGGATGCAAGTAGTGTTGCCCCATCTCTGCAGCTGCAGAACCAAAGGCTTTCTGCAATAGAACACAACCATTCTGTTGTTGGACAATTGTAGAATTCATCCGGAGAAAGTGGGGCTAATATAGAAGAATATTTTTGTCATTTCTCCCACTGTTACTCATTAATTCAACTTATAGATCAAAGTATTATACAAAATATAAGATATTGTTACAGAAATGATTTAGTGAAAAATTTGATTTCATAGATGTCATATGGAACAATCTCATAACATTAAAGATGCATTTTTAAATTTTGCTTCTTCCTACACTTAGCTGTATGCCATGGCTGCCAAAAAAGTCACTGTAATCTTCAACTATATTAATAGAAATAATGTTCAGAACCAGAAAGGTGGTCATCTAAGTGTACTTGCCAGATCATCACCTGGAACACTGGATTCTGTTTGGATCACCACTTTTTAGGATGTTAACAGGGTATATTTTTTTCCCAAAGAAGTATGACCAGAATAATGAGGAGATTCCTAAACCATATCATATGCAGATTGATTAAATTAACTAGGGAGAAGACTTAGAAGAATATTGTAACCATCTTCAGCATATCTAAGGGCTGTCATGTGGGTGGAAGGATTAGATTTATTATATATGGCACCAGTGGGAGAAATAAGACTAATGGGTAGAACGGGGATGGGGAACATGCAGCCTTGAGGCCACATGTGGCCTTCTCGGTCCTTGGGTGTGGCCTTTTGACTCAATCCAAGTTTTAAAAAAAAATCATTTTATTAAGGGGATTTGTGCTGTGAAGTTTGGATTCAGTCAAAGAGCCTCACTTGGGGACCTAGGGGGTCACACGTAGCCTTGAGGCTGCAAGTTCCCACCTCTGGGGTGGACATTCCCAGGAGACCTAGTCTTTAGAAAAATTTCCAAAAATTGGAACCTTTTAAAAATCGAATGCCTACTGAGTTCCTTTTAATCAAACAGGATCAAGTAGAAGCCAAATGATTTCTTGCTGGGTATGTTATAGAGGGGGTTGGTTGTGTTGGACTTAATGACTTCCTAAGGTCTCTTCTGTCTCTGAGGTTCTTTTCAACAATTACATGAAATCCAGTGTTCTCAAACTTACATTTCATGTTTGACTTCAGTTTATAGAGCTTGTCCATTTTTACTGTTGCTCTCTAAATCTTTGTTTCTCTTCACAAAGGTTTGTTTATTCAAATATGTCTTCATCTGATCAAAAAAACTAGGCCATATAGTAGACCTCAGGCCAGAGTAAAGTTTGAGACTTGTTCAGCCTTCTTCCTGATAGATGAAGTCTGTCTACAGTATCTATAGCAAATATTCATACAGAGTTCCCAGATATTTTTAATTCAGTGTAGTTATATTGCTTCATTGGTCTTAATATAGGCCTCATGTTTTCTCCCAAATCCAACTTATAGAAAACCTGAGAACAATTTACAATTATGCTTCAGCTGTGTTTTTGTCTGCTCTGTCTCTAGTTTGTTGCGCTAAAACAGAGAGGTCGTGTGTAGAATTAATTTAGTTCGATTCAACAAATATTTATTTATCATCTACTCTCTGCAGTCCATGCAGATGCTAGGCACAAAAATTTTTTTTTTAATTACCTAGTTCTTACCCTCAAGAAATTTACAATTTCAGTTTGTCCCTATTAATCTTTTAAAAGAGGCAGCTAGATGACTCAGTGGTTAGAGCACTGGACATTGAGTCAGGAAGGTCAGAGTTCAAATGTGGCCTCAGGCACTCAGTAGCTGTGTGACCCTTGGCAAGTCACTTAATCTTTGCCTTAGAGGCAGCTAGATAGTAGATAAAGCACTGGGCCTGGAATCAGGAAGACCTGAATTCAAATTTAGCCTCAGGCACTCACTAGCATTGTGACCATGGGCAAATCACTTAACCTCTGTTTGCCTAATCTACTGGAGAAGGAAGTAGCAAAGCATCCCAGTATCTTTGCCAAGAAATCCACCCCCAAAAAGTGGAGGTGACAAAGAGTCGGACACAACTGAACAACAGCAATGACAAAGCCTTTTTAAAATGTTTCTCACTTCGATAAGGGTCTCTGCATTTGCCAGCAATACCTGCTTCCTGCCAACCTTGATGCCAGGACCCCTTCCCTTGGGTCCATTTTGGGCAGCTTCAAGTCATGCATGGAGCCCCTGTGACCTTCATCAATTTTATATCTTTCTTAGTAAATATATGGTTTTTGTTCACTAATTATGTATGATTATCATTTCACTGCTGTATATATTTTCCTCTAAAATATCTCATTTGGGGAAGTGGAGCCCGTGTTCAATTATAACCTGTATTTCAATCAATAAAGTGTGTTATCAGCATTAATCTTGTAACAACCCATTTAAAAGAGGGAACAGGGCAGCTAGGTGGTACAATGGATAGAACACCCACCCTGGAGTCAGGAGGACCTGAGTTCAAATCTGGCCTCAGATCCTTGACTAGCTGTGTGACCCTGGGCAAGTCATTTAACCCCGATTGCCTCACCAAAAAAAAAAAAAAGATACAAAGACAAAAATGAAACCATCGCTGCCCCCAAGAAGCTTGCATTCTATCAGTGAAACAACATGGATATATAGAAATATATCCAACATAAGTAAAAGGTAATTTTTGAGGTGAAAGCAAAGCTTCCTGGGGGATCAGGAAAGACTTCATTTAGAAGGCAGCACTTGAACGAAGCTTTGAAGGAAACTCGGGAGTCTGAGGCACAGAGGTGAAGAGGGAGAGCAACAGCAGCAGGGTGAACAGCCAGTGTTAAAGACATGGGGGTGAGAGAGGAAATTATAAGGGTTTGAAACCATAAAGAAAGGCTGGGGGACTGTACCCTCAAGGCTAGGCCTCTCTGTGGAAAAGGTAGACAGATGTGAGAGAGATGATAGTACAGTTGGGAAGATTTGGAATTGGTCAAATGGCGGAACCCAAATAGTAATAGTAGGGTGTTAGCCTTGAGAATAGACTTTGTGGGAGACACATTAACTGACTTCAGGTATTTACAGGGCTGTCCCATGGAAGAGGATTTAGACTCATTCTGCCTGGTCCTAGAGGGCTAAAGTAGGAATTGTGGGTTGAATTTGCAGAGGCAAAATCAGGCTTGATGAGAGGAAAGACTTTCTGATGATTAGTGCTATTCAAAAGCACAAGGCACAGTCTCAGAAGTGATGGGGATCTCCCTTGCTGTGGTATAGTAGGAAGAACTCTGTATTTGGAGGCAGAGGCCTGGATTCAAATCCCAGCTCTTGGGGGCACTATATGCCCTTGAGCAAGTCTCTTAACCTTTGTGGGTTCAGTTTCTTCTGAAAAATGAAGAACTTGAATTAGAAGACCTCTAAGATTCCTTTGAGCTCTAAGTCTATGATTCTCTGAGCCTCTTTGGAGGTCTTCAAACAAAGTCTTTATAAACCACCTTTATGTTATATGAATGGGAGATTCCTGTTCATATGTGTGGGTGCTGGAGTAGATGGTTTTAGATGACCCTTCAGACTTTAAGATTCTGTGATCCTCAAAACAACCTTGGAAACTCACCTGCAGAAAAGGCAAGTGAACGCCCTGGGTTCTGTGGCTTGTAAGTGGCCATTCTGGAACAAGAAACAAGGTCTACTGACTCCTAGTTCAATATTTTTTTCCACTCTTCTATCCTGCCTACCTAATTAATTTCAGTTGCCTAGAAAACTCACTTATCTAGAATGCCTCAAGACCAACTCCACCAAGTAACAAATGTGTTTATATCATAAAGTTAAAAACAATGTACTATTTTAAATATTTTATTGCATGTCTGTGAATATATGAGAATACATCACTGTTCCTTGCTTCACATTTTCATTAATGTGTATTAATTTGGCATCCAGTCTTGTTGACCCTGTGACCAAATTTTTTGTAGGCTTCCTTTGGCAAGCAGAGATTATATCAAGGTGGCGGGACTTCGTTCTACTATAGCTTGGACAATAGCATCTCTTGCTGAAATCAATGTAAGGAAAAAATGTCATTGTTGTAAACAGGAATTACTTTTGGTTTGAAAATTAAAAATTTCAAAGATGGGCACAAGAAATATATCTTAATGCTTAATGGGGAAATAAAATTCACCACACTGGTACTCATCTCTATCCCCTTATTAAAAGCTATTTAGGTTATAGATTTTAGCAAACTCATTTAAAATATTCATTCCTGTTACAAACAAGAGTAAAGACAATTTCAGACTTTCTCATGTCATCTACTATTTCACAAAAACATGAATATTTGGTATCTGAAATTATATACTCTATTCTGTTCTTTTACTTTCCTGGTATAAAAAAAAAATATCTTTCTCTACACTAACCAACTCTAGATCATTTCTCTCCCTATCCCATCCTTTCCTCCATCTCCTTTCTCTATTTCTCATACTACTGAACACCCTTGGAGGAAATCATTCTATGGTGCTGACTGGGTCCACTACAAATTTGTTACCTAATTCCAACTGGGCCTTCATTGCTAATCCTTTTATACTTTAGACTTCCTTGATTAACTCACTTAACCCGTTTTGTCTTAGTTCCCTCAAATGTAATAACTAGCATTCATATAGTACCTACTGTGTGCCAGACAGTGTGCTAAGTGCTTTACAGACATCTCATTTTAATCCTCACACCAACCCTGCTGGGTAGGTACTGTTATTCTCCCCATTTACATTTGAGAAAACTAAGGCAGACAGATTTTAAGTGACTTGCCCAGCGTCACACAGGTAGTAAGTGTCTGAGGAGGGATCTGAACTCAGGTCTTCCTGACTCCAGGTCCAAGGCTCTGTCACTGCACCACCTAGCTACTGCATAAAACTTTCTACCCTTATCTTTCTCATAAGCCTCCGTCTGTCACCATCTGCCTGCTGAATATCTCCTGCTGGACATTCCACAGATATCTCAAACTCAGCATATCCAAAATAGAGTTTACTATCTTTTTTTCTCTCTATACCTGCCCTTTTTCTTTACTTCCCTGTTTCTTTCAAAGGTTCCACATCCTTCCAATCACCCGTGTTCTCCACCTGTGTGATCCTTGGTTATTCCTTCTCTCTCAGGACCCATATCCAATGAGTTGCTAAGTCAATCAGTCACATCATATTCAGTGCTCTGGATCAGCATTCTAAGTGCTGCAGATACAAACAAGGGCAAAAACATTGCCCCTGCCCCCAAGGGGCTCATACTCTAACAGAGGAGACGATATACAAACAACTCTATACTTGCAAATAAACACAGTGTAAATAGGAGGTCCAGCTGAGGAGGCCGGATATTAGAGGACTGACTGCCCATGCAAAGACGTCTCTCTATTCTCTCCACTCAGACACCGCTGCAGTTCAGACTCTCATCACTTCTTCCCTAGACTACTATGACAGCTGTCTAATTAGTCTGTCTGCCTTTGTCCTCTACCCTCCAACTCATCTACGCAGCTGCCAAAAGCAATGAATGAAAGAGTCCTGTGTTTAACACTTAATGATGACAGCTAGAGTTTATGTAGTACCTTCTATGTGCCAGGCACTGTGCTAAGTGCTTTATAATTATTATCTTGATTGATCTTCACAACAACCTTGGAAGATTAGTGCTGTTATAATCCTCATCTGTAAGATGAGGAAACTGAGGCAGGCAGAGGTTAAGTGACTTATCCAGGGTCACCCAGCTAGGAACTATCTGAGACCGGATTTGAACCCAGGTTTTCCTGACTCCAGGCCTAGTGCTCTATCCATTGCACTACCTTGCTGCCTCTTAAAACCCTTTGTAATCTGGCTCTAGCTGTTTATGGACTTATTTCACTTTACTGCACACACATAGGAACACATACCTGAGCTTCATTGTAGTTGGACTGGTCTGCTGGCTGTTCCATGTGCGTGTCAGTCATTCCATCTCCCCACTTTTTGCTTTTGCATAGGCTGTTCCCTGTGCCTGTAATGCCCTCCTATTGGAATGCCTGAATTCCTTCAAAGCTTAGTTGAAGTGCATCTTACCGACTTGAGGCCTTTCCTGATCTCTCTTGTTGTCAGTGCTTTTCCCCGGTTACTTTCCCTTTGTGCTGTATGTGTTTATCTGCATACTGCCACAGGAGACATAAATGTGGGTATTTCTCCACTATGACTGTCACAAATCACTTTTTCTTTCTGTAGGTTGGTGCAGTAGTTTTGGATCCAATGTGTGGACTTGGAACAATCCTGTTGGAAGCTGCCAAGGAATGGCCAGTAAGTTTTAAAGCTAAGTGGGTTTTTGACTAGTGCTAGAGCCATTTGGGCCACTGAGATTTTAAGTGATTGGCTCAGGGTCACCCAACGTGTGTGTGTCAGAGGCAGAACTCACACCCAGGCCTGACTGACTCTGAAGGCAACTCTCTGTCCATTACACCAAGGATATTTACATGAATACAGTTCTGTGCAGCCAATCCTCAATTATTTACAGGTAAATTACTTTTTTTAATAAAAATTATAGTACTTTAGATTTAGAGTGAGGTCTTTAAAGGTCATTTAATCCAACACCTTCACTGTACAGATAAGGAAGTTTATCACCAAAGAGGTTCACTGGCTTGCCCAAGGTGATGTGTGTGTGCAAGAGTGCAAGAATTGAACCCAGGTCTACTCACTCCAAATCCATGGCTCTTAGCTATAGCATATTTGTCATTCCCAAGATACCTCCCCTTCCCTGCAGTGTAATACAAACTACTGTAAATAGACTAATAAATAATTAGATAAATTTATTGTAGGAAAATAATTGCACACCAAATTATTATAAGCTTATGTATATAAGCTTTATAATTCTTCTTTGGTTGTTTTGCATACATGTATAGCTTATCTCTAATTCAATTAAAAGTGTCTGAAGCAGGTACTGTATTTTATTTCTCTTGTGCCTTTCATGAGACCTATTATAGTGCACAGTAGCAGGTAATGAGTTCTTTCGGAAGCAAGGCCTAATGTACTCCAGAACCAATAATGATTGGATTATCTGTTTCTTTTACCATTTTAGGAAAATGTACAAATGTTTGAAAAATTCAGTTCAACAAACCTTTGTTAAACACTTATATGAAAAGTACTACTATTTTAGATAATAGGGGTAGATATGTTCCTTACCTTAAGGAGTTTATGGTATTATAGGATAAAATACTTGCATAAGTAATGGTAGCATTAATATGCTTTTCCTTCCATATGACAATACTTGAAGATAATTATCATGTTGATCAATCAGCCAGCATTTTAAAAGGCCATTATGTGCCAGGATTTGGGCTAGGCACTGGATACACAAAGACGAAAAGGAAGTGGCCCCTGCTATCAGCTAACTTACATTCTAGAAGACTAAATAATGTGCCCCAAAATAACTGCAGGGTACTTTAAAGAGGAGTCACTAACACCCGGGGCATCAGGAAGGGCCTCACAGAGGAGGTGGTGTTAGAATTGAATTTTGAAAGAAACTAAATATTCTAAGAGGTAGAGAGGAGAAGGGTATGTGTTCTAGGCACAGGGAACAATCAGTGCAAAGACTGGAAGATAAGAGGTAGGTTGTTGTGTAAGGTGCAGGAAGAATGCTAGTTTGGCTAGAATAATGATTATGAGAAAGGGGGTGATGTCACAAGACTGAAAGGGTAAGTTGGAACCAGGTCATGAAGGGATTTCAATACCCAATGGTGGAATTCGTATTTGGTTTTAAAGGTAATAGGAAGCCACTGGAGTTTACTGAGCAGACAAGAGTCATACCTGTGCTTTAAGAATATCACAGTTGAATGGAAGATGGATTGAGTTGTGTTGTCTAAGCTAAACATTGTTGCTTCAGCCAATAGCACTATCTCAAAGCTTTTCACCATGCTGGTTGACCTGTTGTTGACTCTTTCCAGCTTTTCAATGTTGTTCCTAAAATATGGTGCCCAACACTGGACACAGTACCCCAGATGAGGTCCGACTAGATGAGAACACAGCAAGCATATGATACCACCTTGCCTTTGGCAGAGTAGCTCTCCTAAAGCAGAGTAACTTCATATTTGCCTTTTGGCTACCACGTCACACTGCTGGCTCATATTGAGAACCATAGGATTTCAGAGTTTGAGCTGAAAAGGACATAGAGTCCATCAATCAGGGGTTCTCAACCTCTTTTATGTCATGGACTCCTTTGGCAACAGACTGGTGAAACCTATGGACCATCCCTTCTCAGAAAGATGTTTTTAAATGTTAAATACATAGGATTACAAAGGAGACCAATTATATTGAAATAGAGATTTTTTTTTTAAACCTAGTTCACAGATCCCAGGTGAAGAATCCCTGATTTAGCCCAGCCCCTTTCTTTTCCTGATGAGAAACCTGAAGCCCAAGAGAGGGTAAGTGACTTGACCAAAGTCACCCAGGTAGTAAGTAGCAGAGTGAAAATGGGAACCCATGCCCTCTGACTTCAGAGCATTTTCCCCACAATATGGTATGGCCTTTCCACCAAAACCCTCCAGTCTTTTTCAAACAAACAGCTACTATTTGATTCAGCCTAACATTCTAACCTGTCATGATATTTTTAATCCTGACTCTGGCATGCAGTTTGGTATATATCTGTCCCAGCCTTACGTCATGTGCAAATTTGACGAGCATTCTTTCTTTGTCTTTGCCCAGATAACTGATAAAAATGCCATATACCCTCTAGCCACACCCCTGTCACTGGAACAGTCTATTAAAAACCTCCTCTGTTGACAGTGAACTATTTATGACTGTTCTTTGGGTCTGGCCATTCAACCAGTTCTGAATCTACTTAATCATTCCAATCTGCTGCCAAGTCTACTGTAATCTTGTCCACAAGAACAGAATGAGCAATTTTGTCTGATAATTTGCTAGATCTAGGTAGACTATTATCTACAGCAGTGGAATCAAATTCAAATAGAATCAGGGCCACTAAACCCTGCATAAAGATCTCTACAGTCATGTGTTGACTTAGAAAACCACAAACTAACATTATCTGTGTTCCATTGTATTATTTTTACTTTGTTAAATGTTTCCCAATTACATTTTAATCTGGATTAGACCTCTCTGCTTTATATTTGACACCTCTATCTACAATAACCCTATTAAAAAGGAAAGGAGGTTATTGTGGCATGATCTGTTCTTAAAAGTGATGCCATGATGCCCTTTGTGACTGTGGCTTCCTTTTCTCGATATCCTACTTGACCAATGAAGATTTTTATATTATATTGTTAACAGCAGCATTAACACATCAAAATGAATTTTTTTCTTTACTAATGTAGACATCAGGTTTTACTAATATAACATCAGGTTTTTTTTGAAACGTCCTTAGTTTTGCTAAATATGTGTTTTCCTCTTTTATTGTTTAAGAAAATGGAAATAGACTTGCTTAGATAAACAAAATATATCATAATTTTACTTATTCTTCAAAAATCTGTTTTCCTTCACAGAATGCCAGTTATTTGGGTGCTGATGTAAGTGACTCACAGTTACTGGGTGCTTGTGACAATCTGAAATCTGCTGGTCTCATGGACAGAATAGAATTATTTAAGTTCTGTGTAACAGGTAAGCTATCCAAAATACAAATGTAATCAAAATTAGGGTATAGCTTAGGGTCAGTACATTGTAAAGCAAAACTGATTTTCTATATGTTATTAGGAAAGCATATTTCTTAAGGAATCAAAAAGATTTTATCACTGGAATTTATACTGAATTCATCTCAGTATTATTGTAGTTATTAAAAGAAAAGAGATTGTAATATTCTTCAGATGATTTATTCTTGGGAAGTATCATTTGAATAATCAGCAATTTTTCCTACACACTTATTCAGAAGGGCAATCTGAGGCCCATTGGATATGTCCAACCCAGTGTTTAATGGATTTGAAAATTTTTTATAATCACATATCACTTAGAATGGATTTTAAAAGGAAAACAAAAGGCCAATAATTCATTGAATGTTTTTCAATAACTTTAGGACATGTAGTATATTTAATCTTTTTTTTCCCTCTTGCAATAATTCTGTGATAGCAAGAAATTACCAAACCAGTTGCATATTCAGGCATATAAATAAAAAAGTACTTGACCGTAGCAGAACTAGAAATGAGATTTCATAGAATTGTAGTGGTGTTAGAGCCCATAGAAGACGGGCCTCACACCCCAGGTCAGACTCTCCTCAGCAGTGTCCCTGACTGATTTTCTATAAGCATCAGTTGTAGCACTTCCAATAATGGAGAATTCACTACCTCACCCTGATCATTTTAATCAGTGACTTGGATAAATCCATAAATCATATGCATGCTTATTAATTTTATGGATGACACAAAGCAAAGAGGGATAGCTAATACACTTGACAATGAAATCATGATCCAAGAACATCATGAAAGGCTGGAGGGTAACGAGGAAATTTAACAGGTATAACTGCAAAGGTCTGTGCTTGAATTCTTTAAATCAGCTATATAAATGCAAGATAGGAAGATGATAGTTTGATTGGGAAATATTTTATGTGAAAAGAGAGTAGGGCTTTTAATGGTCTGCAAATGTTCATTTGGTAGTCCTGGAGTAATTTCCTTTTGTCAGACTACATTGCAAGTATTGTGTCCAGTTCTGGGCACCATATTTTTAAAGGAGAAATTAATGATCTAGATCCCATGGAGAAACAGATGCTTAGGATACTGAAGGGACTCAGAAATAGGCAATACAGAGATTTAGTTTAGGGAACTAGGGATATTAATTCGAGAGTCATTTATTAAGAGGGAAGAAAAGTTTTTAAAAGGACATGATAGCTGTCTTCAAATACTTGAAGTGTTCTCATGTAAAAAAGTAATTAAACTTATTCTATTAAACCCCAATAAAGTGAACTAGGACCAGTAAGTGGAAATTACAGGAAAGTAGATTTTGATTCAATATAAGGGAAAATGCCCTAACAATTGGAGATGGCTATATGGTACAGTTGGTAGTATGCTGGACCTAGAATCGGGGAGAATTGATTTCAAATCCTGCCTCAGATGCTTATGTATATGTTTGTATGACTGAGGGCAAGTCACTTAAACTCAGCCTCAGTTTCTTTATTTGTAAAATGAAGATAATACTAACATCTACTCCCCATGCTTGTTGTAAGGATACAATGAAATAATATTTTAAAATGGTTTGCAAACCTCAAAGTACTACATAAATACCAGTTGCTATTACTGTCTTTATTATTATTATTATTATTACTTTAAGAGCTATCAAAAATGTAATGAAATTCCTCCAGGATTAGTGAATTTTCCAGAATTGGAGGAAGCAAAAATGCTAAACAACCACTTTTCAGGGATCTTTTAGACAAAATTCATGCTTTAGATAAGGATCAAATGAAATGACTTGAGGAGCCTTCAGATAGTTCTGTGATCCACAAAACAATCTTTTACATTCATGAACACCTCAGACTATCGGGTTTTTGTTGTTTTTTATTTAGAGCTCCCATCCTGCAGATGGAACTGTCCAGCACATAGTTGTTGACATGAGACTTCTCTGTGATTTCTGTTCATTGGCTTTGGTTCTGCCTTCTCTGAATCTGCAAAACAAAGAAATTCTTAGTGGCACAATATGTACAAGAATGAGAATTACAGTAAATGGCACAGAAATATATTCATGATTTATTGAATCACTTCCCTACTTTGATGAATTCCTAGTCTCATCAACATAAATAGTTCTGTCTACTTGCACAGGTTGCGTCCCTACAACTTTACCACCTGTGCATTTTCTCTGGCTATCCCCCAAGCCTAGAACATTCTACCTCATCTCTGCCTCCTGGCTTCCCTGGCTTCCTTCGAGTCTCAGCTAAAATCCCACTTTCTGCAAGAAGCCTTTCCCTGTTCCCTTTAAAGCTGGTACCTTCCCACTGAGATTATCTCCAGTTTATTTTCTTAAATCTTGTTTGTACATTGTGTCCCCCGTTAGACTGTGAGCTCCTTGAGAGCGGGAACTGTCTTTTTCTTTTCTTTGTATTCCCAGTGCTTAGCACAGTGCCTGGCACATAGGAGACAATTAATGCTTGTTGCCTTTACCTATCTATCTTTTCATAATCTTCCATAGAGGTTCTACCCAGTGAACTGTGAAGGCTGTCTGCTGGTTCCTTTTTATATTTTCTGGATACTTATTTTTAAACATTGAGGCTGTTTCTTTTATCCCCTATTCTACTTAAATCTACTTTGTGACTTTCCATTGCCCTTTGAGACAGGTGTTATTTGGTCTTCTCTTTCAAACCCTCACATTTTTTTTCCAGATTAATCATACATTTATACATATATTCAGGATGTCCCAAAAGACAGTGCAGTTTACTTAAAACTGCACTAAGACTTTGGTACACATATGCATGTGCATTGCGTACATACATGTTTACGTATGTGTGTGTATGTAAGCTTAAAACTGCACTAAAACTTTTGGGACACCCTGTATATATAAATGTATTGTTAGCCTGAAGAAAAAAAACCCAGCAATTTGAAAGAATAAGCCAAATATAATCACCTGACTCAAATAGCATTGTAAAATAGAGTAGATTTAATTAGCTTAGGAGATAAAACAGTATGACTGTTTCAAAATAAATGGCTAGAAAATATAAAAAAGAACCAGCAGACAGCCTTCATAGTTCACCAGGCAGACTCTCTATGGAAGATTATAAAAATAGAGATAAATCAAATCAAAAAGTAGTAAGTGCCTACTATGGGCCAGCACTATAGCACTCCTACATATGGAAGTGTGTGTATATACACACAGAGATATATATGTATATAAGCATACATACTCACACATATAAATATGGTGTGTATATATCTATGTATGTTATACATATGCACATATAAATACAATATGCCTATATTTCCATATGTAAGAGGAGCCTTGTAAGTAGTCTGTGATGTTTCTTTTTCCAAAACCTGAACCAAATTGTCCATATCAGAAATCTCATTATGAGCTAGCGATTCAATTCAGCAAAATGTCTTTCATTGGCATTATCTATTTTTTTCATGCAAAACAGTATATCCCTATCTTTACTATCTCCAAAACGTATATTAATTGATCTTTTCCTGTTCTAAATCACAAGCATTGCTGCCTAGAATAGAGACTTGTCTATGTTTGATTACATAAAACTCTAACTTAAAATTCTAGCTAAGTCCATCCTACATCCCTAGGAAAACTATTTAGTTTCTTGGAAAGTACCAAAAAAAAAAAAAAAAAAAAAAACAGTCATTTTGGCTACTCTGGGAAGCTACTAAAGATAATCTCATGAGAGCTCCTCCCACAACAAGAAATATAACACTAGTGGGAAAAAATGAAAGCTACAAAAAACAATTCTCGAAAAAAGTCAACTATAGCAAAAAGGAATGTTTCACCTTTGTTTTTGAATCCCTGGCATGGAGCAGGTGCTTGTCACAAGAATGTTTAGGGTCCTTGCCAGCTAATGCCCCAATAAACCAGCATAGACTACTACAGATAGGCAGATAAGCTGCAGGTTATGCATTCACATGTGACACACATACATCATCAGTAGGTGAGAGACGTGTCTCACAGTTTTGCATATGACATGTATGTATATATTCTCTCCTCCTGAACTACACAATCCAGAGAGAGAATAGCAAAGAAACATATTTCTTGCAAAGTGGTTGGTAGGATCAGGTTGGACATGTAGCTTGAGAAGGTACATAATGAAAACAAAGAGGAAGCTTAAAATGTTACTGAGGGGAAAATGTGTCCTTATTAGCACAGCCATTTATAGTAGACCAAAGAAAACTGTACCTTCTTAGTCGGTCAATAAGCATTTGTTAAGGGCCTGTTCCATACAGGGCCTTATTAGATGGGATTAAAAAACAGGAAAGACTTCCTTGAACTGTTGAGATCCTCTGAATTTTTTTTTTTTGTTGTTATCTTCTTGGGAGGTGTTGAAGGAGAAGTTTGTGTTAAAGAGGCATAACACAGAAAGAAAAAGAAAAATAACAAATATGGGAAAAATAAGAGTCAGTTATGTTCTCCCAAAATTCCGCTTCCAACCTGCTTGATAAGTCCTAATTTAATGATTGAAGGAGCTAGATTTGCCTTCAAGTTTATGTAGTGTCACAGATGATTTGATGTACTACTTAAAAAAAAAAAAAGAAATGAATTGAAGAAAGTTTAAATCTACCATCTAATATATGTACACAAAATCTGGCATTTGAAATTGACACCTGTATTATTAATGAATTAGTCATTGAAAGATTAGATTGGCTTTTTTTTCCCCAAGATTCAACAAGTTTTCAAAATTTACAATGTTTTCCTGCCACTGAATTATCCTTTCATCATGAAAAGGAGAGGAAGGCTTTTACTGATAGGTTTTTTGATGTTTAACAGATTAAAGATTTAATTGTTTATAGATGCTAAGCTTTAGGTTTCCCTCAGTGAAATTAGAGTGATTAGGACTACCTGTATTTTGAGTTAAATAAGTAAATAGGGAAGACAAGGGCTTTTGGTAGCTTGGAATGGCTTCAAGTGAAACCTCATCTGTCAAGGGAAAGTCTTTTCGGAAGGGATAAAACCCAAACGCCTGAGGCTTCCTGGCTTGTGGAAGGAGCCCTGGATGTAGAGTGATGTATATTTGAACCCTAGCTCTCCCCTTCAAAAAGTGGAGGAAGGCCGTGTTATGGAAAATTTTACTAAGGAATTTATGTACTGGGGATTTTTTAGAGCTGGAAGGAGCACTCGAGGTAGATTTTACAGATGGAGGGACCTTTGGTCCAGAGACCTGAAACTACTTGTTCAAATCTATCCCTAATGTCCCTCAGCTCTAAAAATCCTAAGTATGCACATTCCTTAGTAAATTTCTCCATAATGTCACCGTAAACTGCCTTTCCAGCCTCACCCCATTATACTTCCACTCACATAATCTATATTGAAACCAACCTGAGTATACCCAGCTTACTCATTAACTAGAGATGCAGGTAACACTAATCTAATTTTGCTGGCGATACCTAAGGTTTAGGATCTGTAAACTATTACATTTATTTTTAAAAATCAAATGATTCCTCTTGCTTCTACAACTGTAGGATGCTTCAGTGATACAAAAAAATAATAATTTTGCAAACATTGCTTATTGGGGGAAGATGCAGACTCTATATTCTTGGTGTCAGTTTCAGATACCAAATGGCTATTGTCCCACAGTCACATTCCAGAAAAGCATTGAGGTGGCACAGTGGATATAGCACTGGACTTGGAGTTAGGCAGAGCTGAGTTCCAATCTTGCCTGAAAAACTAACAGCACATCCCTGGATAAATCACTTAAGCCCCTGCAGCTTCAATTTTCTTATCTCTAAAATAAGGATAATAATAGCATCTACCTCATAGGATTGTTGTGAAAATCAAATGAGCTAACCTATGTAAAGAAATTTGTAAACCATAAAGTGCTATCTACATAAATGCTATTATTAATTCCAAATATCAGACCTTGATTTCTTCTGTTCCTCCCACTTGAACTGCTTTGTCCTATTCTCTCCTTCTTCCCTTCCCCCTAATCCCATCTTTGCCTTTTGAAATTTTGCCTGTCATCTTTTATGGCCCAGCTCAGTTGTTACTGACAACTTCTTTCTCTTTTTTCTTTACCAGCTCGTGGAGCTGGGTTAATTAATGGGTTTGTTCCCCAAGGATCTTGTCCTTGGCTGTCTTATCTCTTCTCTCATTATACTCTCTAATTCGCCAGTTTATTCCCACCACATAAATTACTGCTTCTAGGCAGATGGCTACCAAAACTCAATCCTTAACCCTGACCTCTTAGATGGTCCAGGCCTGCATCTCTGGCAGTTCACTCCACTCATGTGGGCATTCCTCTGGCACATCAAAATCAAGGAATCTCAGATGAGACTAATTATCTTTCCTGCTAAACCTGCTCTTCCTACTGATTTTACTACTTCTGTCTGTTGCACCACCATTCACTCAGTCTCCTATGTATATAAACCTTAGTTTATCTTTGTTCCATTTTTCATACTTCTGCTTTGGCACCAGAAGGCAAACTAGGAATAATCAATGATTCAGTCAACAAACAAACATCTGTTAAGTGCTTAATATGTGCCTAGCAATGTGTTAGGTGCTGGTGATATAGGTATAGAGAATGAAACAGTCATTACTCTGAAGGAGCTTACATTCTGATTGGGAATATAATAAGCACATATATAAATATATACAACATATAGTTTGGGGTTTTTTTTGCTGTAACAAAGAATTGGAAATTAAGGAGGTAACTATCAAATGGGAAATAGCTAAGCAAGTTATGGTATGTGAAATTAATGGCATACTATTTGTACTTTAAGAAATGATGAAGGGGTAGTTTTAGAGAAACCTTTGAAGAGTTGTGTCAACTGAGGCAGAGTAAACAGCACCAGGAGAAGTTTGTACAATAACAACAAAATTATAAAGATAATCAGCTTTGAAAGACTTAAGCACTGATCAACTCAAAGACCAAGCACTGTTCCAGAGAATTTATAATAAAACATGCTAACACCCCATTTTTTCATTCGCCGGTTGGCTGAGTAAGATGGACTGGATTGGTGAGAGACTTGAGACAGAGAAACCAATTAGAAAGTCATTGCAATGGCAGTGAGTGGAAGCTGCAGTAAGGCAAAATTCAACCTCATTATAAGGGATAAAAAATTTCCCCACACTTATATCTAAGTAAAAGTCTTGGGAGGTAATTAGCACCCCCTTTAGTAGAGATCTCCCAGAGATGACCTCTAATGTCTAAATGTCCCTTCAACCCTGAGATTCTGTCATTCTGTTACTGCTATGAAACCTCCCCTGATCTTTCGCTATCCAGTTCTTTTTTTCTTCATCTGAAATCTAGGAACATATTCTACCTCTCTTTGACCCTTAGATTCTGTTTGTGTTAAAATACTTGTTTGTACATGTCTTATTTTCCCAATTAGATAGTAAGCTTTTGAAGACTCATAAACCCTTTCCCTCTATTCTTCATCACATGGTGCACATGATAGTGCTTTATATATGTTTGTTGAATTTTGAATGTTGAATGAATAAAGGTCAACCTAGACAGTCATCAGAAGCCTTAATCTGAAGGTTCCAGTAGTTAGTCTCCTCATTTTTCCTTTGAGAGATGGAGAAGAATGAAGCTCCTCCCCCCACATCCCATGTATCATGGTTCTGAAATGTAAATGTTTTTCCTATCTCTGAATCATCCTGCAGTCATGGAAAGGAGAGGACATTTTTTACTTATTTGTTTGACATTTCACAGTTTATAGATCCTGTTGTCCCAGCGGTTTAATGCACTCAGCTTATGCTTCTTACCTATCTACTAGTTTATAAATTGGGTTCTGTGTTTCTGTTTAAAGATTGTATCACCTTAGTTACAAGGAAGCTTTGTATTATCCAGCACAGGTGATTTATGACCGCACAGTCAAAGCACTTTATATTTTGAGAGATTTCTTTATGTTCTGCTTTCATGGGTTCAGGTGCTCAGAGACTTAAGCAGTTGTTGAATAAAGTAATAACCTTATTCAGTTCTACTAAGATAAACGTTGATGGTCTTACCTGAGTACCAATCCCTAAATCCACAATTTTTCCATTTTACTCTGATTTCTGACTTGGCCATCTAGAATTTTAAGTAGGACATGAAAACAGGTTTAAATTCTCCTTTCTTATTCAGTTTTGTTGAGTTGAATAGAATGCGATCGAAGAGTCATCAAGATTCTGTTTAGACAAGTTACACTTATCTGGGAAAGTGATCTCGGAGTTGGACCCTTATAGTTATGGGAAAGAGTAATGCAATAGAAACCTAGTGTTCATGCTTTAGAAGCTAATACAGCATGTCTTACATTTTTTTCTCTGTGGAACCTTCTGCCTTGCTGAACCAAAATCACAAAATCCAAGTTGGAAAGAGCTTCAAAGGCCATCTAGTTCAACTTGAATTTGACCAAGAATCCCCACTGTAGCACTCACAAAAGTGACCATCCAGCCTTCCTTTGAAGGGCACAAGTGAGGAGGAACTTAGTATTTCCTAAGACATTTCACCTATTTTTAAAGTATTCTAACTGTTAGAAAGGTTTTTTTTTTCCATATGTCAAGCTGAAATCTGTCCCTCTGAAACTTCTACCCATTGACTCTTAGATCTGCCCTCTAGAACAGAACCAATGTAATCCCCCCTCCATCTGAAAACCCTTCAAATATTTTGCTGATCAATCAGTCAGAAAGCAATTATTAAATGCTACAGTATGTCAAGTACAGTATGCTAAACTTTGGGGATAAAAAGGCAAACACTAATCACCCTTTAGTGATATGCTGTAGAATTTTGTCAATAATCAAATTCAGACTTAGTGACTCATATTTTGAATACATACTTTCTCAGAAAATTAAAATATTTGGTTTTTTTTTTCCAGTCCTGTGGTATTTTTTTGTTTTTTATAGTCTTTCGGAGATCACTGGCAACAGCTCAACAATCCTAATTTTATATATCTCTTCTTTAACTGGACTTGGTCATTGAACTCATCCTGTGCAATAAGGGGGTCTCTTACTTATCTTGGATATCACCTTCCCATTAATCATATTTGTTCTGTCCTTTCTAGGCTATTGTGCATTCTCCTTGGCAGAGAAAACAAAAGCAAAATTATAATTGAGCAGCATCTTCTTGCTCGTTCATCCATTTTCATCATTTTATCTTCCTCAAGCAGCAGTCCTGTCCTTTCTGTAATCATCTGTTCTTCTCTAAAATAGCTTAAAAAGCAAAACAAAACAAAACGAGAGAACTTTTTAGTGCCCTTGGCTTTACCCCTCAGTCTTGATTCATTCTAAACAGGCACTAGTGACATTATATTTTTAAATTTTATTTTATTTTGTTGGTGCCTTTTGTTTTTATATTATATTACTTCCTGGCATTAAATGCAGTATTCTAGACCCATGAAAGGAGGGAGATACATGTCAGAATATGGCTTTCCTCTCCCCTATCACATATATTCCCATATGACATAGTTACCCTCCCCTCTCTATCCAGGATTCATCATATTATTTCTGTCAGAAACTGTACACATATCATGTAAAATCATATACAAAAATGATCTTTCTTTGATGATTCTGGAATCATTTAAGAATGTTCCCCTTCCACAAAGTTATGAACACCAATTTTCATTTTATGGGGTTCAGGAGAAAAAAAACCATCCCTTCTTTGAATTTTATTTTTGTTTGGATTATAAACAGTAGTGTCTTATAATTTAATTCTTTTGATTTCTCTTTTACAGAATTGCCATTACATTCCGAAAGTGTTGATGTTATTATTTCTGATGTTCCATTTGGAAAAAAATTTAAATTAGGAAAAGACATAAAAAGCATTCTTCATGAAATGGAAAGGTAAGTATAATGTATTTTCACTGTTTGTGTTGTTTGGAGATACTGTTTAGACTTTATGGTCATTTCAATATGTGTCATTTAACAAGGTTTAGCAAAATGATCTCTCATTCTGTAATCTCCTTATTTGTTATGAGTTGAATCTGAGTCTGCCATAGCCATTTTCTAGAATCTCAAAGTTAAATATGACCCAACTAAAGCTAGATGGCTCAGTGAGTAGAGCGCTGAGCCTGGAGTCAGGAAGATCTGAGTTCAGATCCGACTTCAGACACTTAGTAGCTGTGTGACCCTGAGCAAGTCATTTAACCTCTGTGTGCCTTCATCCACTGGAAAAGGAAATGGCAAACCACTCCAGGATCTTTGCCAAGAAAACCCCATGGATGGTAATGTCTGTGAGTTCACGTAGAGTCAGACATGACTGAACAATTAAACAACAAATGTGCCGGGCACTATCCTAGAATATAAATACAACGAATGAAACAATTCCTGCTGATGAGGAACTTACCTTCTAATGGGATAGACAACAAGCTATGTATATACTGAGTAAATATAAAGAAATAAATGCGAAGTAGTTAGATATAAATAAGGTAGATTGGCGGGTACGCTAGCAGCCTGGGGGCAGAGAAGAGAGAATCAGGAAAGGTTTCATGTGGAAGGAGGTTCTTGAGAGATGTCTTTGAAGGGATTCTCTGAAGTGCATTTGAAGAGGAGCACGTTCCAGGCACGGAGGGGGGCTGCCAGCACCAAGACCCAGAGACAGAGCCGGAGGGTTACCTGGGAGAATTAGAGAGAAGGCCAGGGTCACGTCCGGTGAGGCTAAGGTCTTCAGGGCCGGCTCGTGAAGGGCTGCACAGTGAAAGAGCTGAAGGCTAACCAGCATAGTGTATACTTGATGGTCCAGGGAATGAGGAGCCTCCAGAGTCACAGGGCTGTATTGTGGAGGTTGGACTAGAGTGGTGAGAAAATCGAGGCAAGAAAACCAACTAGGAGGCTGTGGCGGTAATCTTGGCGAATTGAAAAGGGCTTGAACTAGCTTTCTCTGTGTGAGCAGAGAAAAGGGATCCGAAACAGAAAGGTATTTGAGGTAGAAACACAAAGATTTGGCAACTGATTGGGCATGTAGGGTGAGGGAGAGTGAGGACGATGTCACCAGCATAAGTGGAGCACCAGGACAGAGCAATGTCACAGAAACCTAGAGAGAAGAGAGTATCAAGGGGAGAGGGTGGCCACCAACAGTGTCTGAGGCTGCAGAGAGGTCAGTGAGCGTGAAAACTGAGACGTGACCATTAGATTTCACAATTGAGAGATCGCTGGTAACTTTGGACAGAGCAATTTCTGTCAAGTGATTCGGCTGGAAGCCAGACTGTAGAGAATTGAGTTAAGTTAATGGTACTGTCCTATCACCTTCATAATCTTTCGGTTTTATTCCTGTATAACATTTTAGAATCATGTGAATTGCCTTGTACTTTGCACATGCATTTATTGGGATGTAAGTTAATTTCGCTTGCCTTTTCTATAGAATAGAAATAGATAATTAAAGTGAATTTCATGCTGGTGAATTTGGTAACTTTTTTAATGGCTCTGCATTATAGAAGATCGTAACTAATTAGCTACGTCCTAGGATTTAAGTTGATAAAATTAAATTTTAACTTGAAAGTACATATAATCCTTTAAATAAAGTAATCTAGGTTTTATGTACCAAAATAAGAATGAACTGTTCATACCAATTCTATCTTCTTGTTACAGAGTACTTTGTGTTGGAGGGACTATTGTATTATTACTTAGTGAAGACCTCCACAAGTACCTACAAGATTACAAGGAGAGTAACATCACATGGAATTCCAGTAAGGACAACACCAATGAATTCAAAATTGTAAAGTATGTGAATGCTGAAGAAAAAAATAGAATTCAAGAGAATGTTTCACCTTCTTTTCAGGATGATAGACAAGAATGGTTGGACAAAAGGCCACTTTTTGGCACCCTGGTGCAGATGGAATGCCACAAAGTTAGCCTTGGAAGAACCGAGGCATTCATATCAAAATATAAGAAAATTCATGATTCTGAACTACAACAGCCTTCTTAATTTGTTTCAGATTATAAGTTTAGCAGTTTTATTTTAGATGTACATTGGTAGGAAACCAATGACCTTCATAGCAAAGTCCACAGTAAATTTTGCCACAGTAAATTCCATTAAAATTATTACACAGACATGAGCAGTGGAAAGCCCTGCCACCACTGAAGCTAATCTTCTCTTCTTCTCTTCCCTCCTTACCTCCTCCACAGTTTCCTTGAACTTACCCAAATGGCCAGTCAGCAAGGAAAATAGAACTACCAGGGTGTCTTTACCCTCTGCTTTTCCTGAGCCCCTCTCCTGGTTAGTCATCCAGAATCCAATGAGAGTACTTTAACGTTCACATGACTTCATTGAGATGGGTGTCACAATGCTATTCTTTCTGAGGAATTAGAGGACTACTGACCAGGCCTTATAATCTGCCCTACCAGTACCTCCTAAGGTTATGTTTGTAAAGCGTTTACCATGGGGTACATGGCACATAGTAGGTGCTTAATAATACCCTTTATTCTTCCCTCCCTCCTGATACCACCCCTGCTGTATCTGACCTGTTAATGTAACTTAAAGATCAACCGGGCCTTGCCATCTGCCATCTCTTAGGATTTCCATCCCACTGCAGCTTTCTTTTATGTGTTGTCTCCTCCCCAATTAAAGTGTGAGCTCTTTGAAAGCAAGGACAATCTCACTTTTGTATGAGTCACCCATGATTAACACACTTAGTGTCACATAGTAAATTTTTAATAAATGCTTTTTCATTCATTTCATTCATTTGTAGATCCTCACTTAAAAATGTCTACTTTCATAGTGTTTTGCTTATTAGAGATTTAGTGTTTTGTATTAACTAAAACATCTTTAAAAATGATATTATAAATGATAAAATTTAAAGAACTAGTGCTGATGCTCTCTCAACATATGAGGTGCAACTACCCTAAGCACTGTTTATTAGGCAGGCATTTCATCAAAAACAATAAAGATTTTTAATATTTTTAGTAGTTCAAATTAAGTATATTACAAGCAAGTATGATATAGCACAGAATGGATGTTTTGTATTATAGCTCATTTTATAAATATAGAAATTCTTATTTTCTTAAATGGCAAAATATTCTGTGAAGCTGATTTGATATGAATCTAGACTTTTATATACCCTGTGTTTTCCTTCTTTGTAAGAATGAGGATTATTTTCATTTTCAGTATATTGTGTCATCCATAGTAAGGATCATGTCAGTGAATTGATCATGCAGATGTCAGCAGTGCCAACATATTTAGGATAATAAAAAATAAAACTTATTTTTAAAGTATTATGCAATTGTCACCTCTTTTATGTAAAGACCTCCATTTCCTCACTTTCCCATCATTTCAGAGGAGACCCAGAGTTCTGAGAAACGAGGACATTTTGCTTTTAGTGGTAATAAATCTTCCCTTATTCAAGAGTATATTCGATAGTCTAATTACTAAAACACATGCTGAATGATAAAATCTTGCTTCACTGTTGCGGTGCAGTAATAGCAGTAATAACAACAGTAATAGCATTTTAAGGTTTGGCACAAGTAATCATAATTGCTTACCTGTATATAGCACTTTTAGGCTAAAGAACAACAGTTCACGTATGCACGGGCGTAAGTAAATGTTTGGTCATTTTCAGTCATGTCTAACTCTGTGATCCCATTTGAGGTTTTCTTGGCAGAGATGATTTGCCATTTTCTTCTCCAGCTTATTTTACAGATGAGGAAACTGAGACAAACAGGATTAAGTGACTTGCCTAGGGTCACAGAGCTTGTAAGAATCAGAGGCTAGATTTGAACTCCGGAAGATGAGTCTTCCTGACTCCAGGCTTGGCGTTCTATCTACTGTGCCACCTAGCTGCCAGAAGTAAATACATATATGTATCTATGTACATATATAGATATGTATATGCATATATATGATAGATAACATTTCAGATAGCACCTGTTATGTGCTAGTACTATTCTAAGTGCTTTACAGTTATCTCATTTGATCCTTAACCAACCCTGCAAGGTAGGTTCTATTATCCCCATTTTACAGATGAGGAAACTGAGGCAGACATTAACTTGCCCAGGGTCACACAACTAGGCTGGATTTGAACACTGATCTTCCTGACTTCAAACCCAGTGATCTATGCACTGTACCACCCAGCTGTTTGGGGTGTTCAGGGAGGATTAGTGTGAGGGCTAACAGAGTGCTTTTGAGGGCTGCTCATCCACCTTCAGCGTCCACCTTTCACCCAACTCTTACCTGTGACTCCAAGAAGCTATAACATGCACAGCAACCACACCTTGGTAAAAACCATTACAGAAGATGGGTTAACCAGGTAGCCAACAGGCCTCCAACCCGTCAGTGAGTTAGGGACATGTCTACCCCAAGCATGGGAAGATTTCCCCTAGCAGAATGGACATATGAGAACAGTTTGTTTCAGTGGCCATGAAGGCAGCTGAAGCAGATGTTGTAAGATACAAGCTCTGTGACCCTGGGCAAGTCACTTAATCCTGTTTGTCTCAGTTTCCTCATTTGTAAAATAAGCTGGAGAAGAAAATGGCAAATCATCTCTGCCAAGAAAACCTCAAATGGGATCACAGAGTTAGACATGACTGAAAATGACCAAACGTTTACTTACGCCCATGCATACATGAACTGTTGTTCTTTAGCCGAACCACTTAGAGCTTGGTTAGACATTGAAGATGCCAAGGTCATCCACTGCATCCATCATGGGTCATCCTGACTTTTGTCTTGCCACTGGGCTTTGATTACTCTGGAAGAGAAAGTGAGGCTGACAACTTTGAACAACTCTATCTCACTTAAATCTAATTCACACTCAAGTCAAGACATCATTGTAACATCATTGGTCCTCTTTGAAAACAAAGGATGAACAACAATATATGTGTGTGTCTATACATATACGTACTACATATACAAATGTATATATGTCTATACATAATAAATTTACATAAATACACATACATATATACACATACACACACACACACACACACACACACACACACACACGCAATTTACTTCAACAAAATTCTACTCCAGTGCCTCATCATGGCATGGAAAGTGGCCCTTTCTTCTTAAATGTTATCCCAACAAAGTGTAAGATCTGGCAGGTCCTTCTACCTCTCAAAGGTGTAATAGCTCACTGACAGATTGTAGGCCTGCCTGACAGCTTAATTGAGTCTCCAGGTGGGCCTCAGACTAATAAGTTCTTCAGTCCTGTTCTGACCATCTACTAAGGGAAAAATGGGCTGTGATCAGCAGAGGGCAGACCCGCACCAGTAAAATGTTAGCTCCATTAAACATTTAAGGTTTACAAAACCACTCCCCTCACAACGTCCCTGGTATATATATACCTGCTTCTGATCTGGCATCCCATGTCATTTATATTTTTTACTCTATCTCATTTTGTAATTGCAAATTTTAGTCACTTTAAAAAAAACACCCCAAACCAGAGACTTTGGACAATATGTTCTATCCTTTTCTTTCCAATTTATTTGTTCCTAGGCATGATTTTTAGGGGAAAATTTTTGTGTGGGTGGACATCTGTGTGGGTGTAACCAAGTTGCAGCAAACAGCAGGTAGAAAAATGTGTTTTTCACTGACTTGGCTGGCATCAGTGCAAATTACAAGAGCCAATATAGCAGTCCCAGGGATCTTAATATACTTCTGTCATCTAATGCCCCATTTTTAGTTTGTGCTAACATTTCTTGTACATGCAATGAATGAGAAGCACTTTTGAAACTTTGCAGAAATGGGACATCTTGTACCTTAAATATTATTGAATTATATAATAAAGAATCTTTTAAGTTCTTTGTAGTATTTCAGAATTATAAGCTACTGTCCCATTTTCACCTTTCAGAATTATACACAGCATGTACTTCCAAATTAAAAGTGCGCATTCAGATCTCTTACCTTTGCCTTTGCAGTTTTGACTTTTTCATGTGTACTCATACTTGGCTAGAATAGGGACAGTATACATTTTATACATGTTACACAAACCTGACATGAAGAAACAATATTTTACATTCATTTAAAATAACTGGAAAGTCCATTTAATTTTTTTAATCAGCCCAATGTATATCTGTACTTTTAAAAGAAATACCTTACTGTAGGTGATTTGGGGGGGGGGGGCAGTTGGCAATAGTTGTATCCCATATTGTGATGAATTGCCTGCTAACAAGTGGGCCCAAACTGTAATGTCTTTGTGATAATTGAGCTGAACTTTTGTGAAGATGCAATATTTGACAATAATGTAATAAATTGTAAAAGTTAATAGATAAATTGAAGATGCTTCTTTGGCTCCCCCAGCAGGACCCAAAAGACTCTGGGTCTGAAAAAACAAAAACAATAAATCCAAGGCAAACCCAACAGCTCTGTGGGTGAGAGCTATAGAACAGACACACACACACACACACACACACACACACATATTAGTTCAGTAGGACCTGGCCAACACAGAAGGCCTTCTCTTGCTGGGGAAATCAGCTGGGAACCCACCCTGGACCAGGAGTAGAAGCAGAAAAGAAATAGACTCAAGAGTCAGGAGATCTGGGTTCAAGTCCTCTGTTTCTTCATCTGTAAAATGGGGGAAATAAGGTACTACCTCCCTCTCAGGGGCTATATTAAGATCAAGGTAATATAAGCTCCTTAAAGGCAAGCCTTTATATCCTTCAGCATATGACAATATATTGAATGTAGTAGGAAATTAATCAATGGTTTATTTGGACTTTTTTGAATGAGAAGGTCTAAAACTATAGAATCTTTTGGAATCATCAAACCCTTGTGAAGCCCTGCATAAATGTCAGTTATTAGGAGACACAGAATTTTTAAGTGCATAGACACTCCACTAGTATGGTCAGAGTGACATATGAATCAGAGTACTGCTCCACAAAAATTCGAGGTCACTTGGCCAGCAAAGAACAACATGCAAAACCTCTCTGTTGGACAGCATGGACATGGAAACATTATACAGGTCAGGGATGACAGAGGGATGGAGTGAAAAGAGACTGAGTAAGTTTGTGTAACAAGATTGGCAGATAATAGATAGACCACCTATGCCAGGGATGGGGAACCTGCAGCCTGGAGGCCATATGTGGCCCTCTAGGTCTTCAAGTGCAGCCCTTTAACTGATTACAAGCTTCACAGAACAAATCCCCTTAATAAAAGGATTTGTTCTATAAAACTTGGACTCAGTCAAAAGGCCACACCCAGGGACCTATAAAGCCACATGAGGCCACAGGTTCCCCACCCCTGACCTACATAAACAAAGATCCCAAAAGATTAAAAGAGAAAAAAAAAATCAAGAATCTGAAGATATTGTGGCAATTTGGACAAAGGCAAGGCCTCGATCACGTGTTCATTCTAGTGTGCAGTAGGTCTTCATGGGAGAAAAGAGCCAGCATTTTAGATTAGGTGGGATTCAAGGGCTAGTGCCTCATGAGTGGTACTCAAGAGCTTCTCAGGAAGCTTCAACAGAACCTCAAGCCATCTTTGCCTAGCATTCAAGGTCCTGCACAATCTACCACCGCTCTACCTCTCCAGCCTCATCTCATTATTTATTCCCTTCTACTCCCTCTGTGTTCCAACCAAACTGAGCTAGTCTATCTTCTGAATACACTCTATGCTTTCTTGCCTCCATGCTCTTAGACACGTTGTTCCCCGTTCCCGTAAGGGCTTCCTTCTTCTCCTTTTGGATTCCTATCCACCATTTAAAGTTCAGCTCAAATACCACCTGTACTATCCTT